ACAGTATATTTCGATTTCACTAAGGCTTTTGACCGTGTTGACCATGCTCTTCTCCTCTTGAAATTGTCCTCTTTCGGAATAGGTGGCAAACTTTTGAATTTTATATCCTCTTATTTGGGCACTCGCACACAACGAGTTAAGATTTCCAATACCATCTCCAACCCCACACGTGTGAGGAGTGGAGTCATTCAGGGTAGTGTACTCGGCCCGCTTTTATTTTGCCTTTTCGTTAATGATGTACCCGATTTATTTCAGAATGGTAAGCCGTTCATGTATGCCGATGATCTTCAAGTTGCATATTGATATAAGCCGGCAGATCATGACATCGTGCTTGAGCTCCTAAAGAGCGATGTACAGGCTTTCGTCCAGTGGTGCCGCACATGGCGCCTTTCTCTTTCTTGGCATAAGTGCTCAGTCATGGTTGTTGGCGACGACCTCCAACCTCAACTAAGTATTGAAGGTCACGCCATAAATGTGCCTAGGGTTATAAAGGATTTGGGCGTAGCATACTCCAAGAGTCTCAATCTCTCGGAGCACTGTGCCTTGATAGTCTCCAAAGCACGTAGAACGACCGGGTTTATCCTCCGAAATCTTAAAACTAGGGATATTAGAATGCGCCTTTTCAACATGTACGTTAGACCTGGTCTGGAATACTGTTCGTTTTCATTTAGCCTCATGCGTGCTACTGAGCGGAAGAAGATAGAATCCGTTCAACACTTTTTACCAAGAGAATTTTAACCCCGGAACACCGACATTTGTCTTACCAAGAACGTTGCCGACTTACAGGCCTCGATCCTTTATGGTTCCGTAGATTACAAAAGGGACTATTTTTGCTATTTAAACTCTTATATAATCACACATTTAACCCACTCACCTCTTTAAGACATCATATCCACCCACGACGTAACAGTTACCGTGAAGTCTTTTTCTTTCTTCCTCTGGCACGTACTGTTAAATATCGTCGGTTATTTTCTGTAAATGCGATTGCTATTTAGAATAAACTACCCATGAGTGTGAAAACTCTGCAAAATTTTCCTTTATTTAAGAGAACTATTACTCGATTTTTGCATTCAGAAAAGCTCCCACAACTTTTGGGTGCTGAATCTACTGATCGACTGTACCGTAGCGATGGCGCTTTTGGTGTCTGAACACTATGGCCGGTCTCACCAGCTGTTCCTCAACGCCTCTACTTTGACTATCCCCAACTTCACGAAAGGAATTTGACGTCCGATAATCTCCGATACCGTGCAACCTCCCCCCTTCTTGACGGTCGATATTCTACCACCGCCGGCAGTTTTTTCTCCTGAGCCCTCCAAACCATAAAAACCACCATCAACTATATTTTTATCCCTTTAGCTCAGGAGTTTTTTCACTGCTGGTCGGATTTGTGTTTAATCGCTTCCCTTGACAATGCCTGTAAACTGGCATTAAATAAAAAATTTATTTATTTAAGTTATTTATTTATTTAAATGATCTGGGATGTAGGGATTCAAGGGAGAATGTTTAAGTGGATCAGGAGTTTTCTGTCCTCCAGACTACAAAGAGTCGTCGTTAGTAATCCTACCTCGGAATGGGTAAAGGTGGAAAGTGGTGTCCCACAGGGTTTTGTCTTAGGCCCAGTACTCTTCCTGATTTATGTTAATGACTGCATCAGCGAAGTGAATTGCGAGGCTCTCATGTTCGCGGATAACATAAAAATATGGATTGAAGTCAAGTGTGATGATGACGCAGAGAAGTTGCAGTCGAACATCAACAAACTGTGTGCTTGGTCGAACAGATGGCTTTTGAAGTTTAACGTGTCCAAATGCGTGGTTTTGCACCTGAACACCGGCCGCAATGCCTCACCCAAACACCAGTACTATATTGACGGGACGAGGCTAGAAGCTGTGGAAAGACACAGAGATCTGGGTGTATGGACGACCACAAATCTATCGCCATCATAACACTGTAGAAAGATGGTCCAGAAGGCAACTAGTACTCTACACTGGATCAGACGTGCATTTAAAATATTTCCTCCCGAACTCTTCGAAAGACTCTTTGGTGTCTTTGTAAGACCTCATCTAGAGTATGGAATGCCAGCAGCTTCACCATGGATGAGGAAGGATATCAACTTACTCGAACAGGTGCAACGCAGAGCGACAAAGACGGTCGACGGTCTAAATCATTTGTCTTATCAGGAGAGGCTGAATTTGCTTGGCCTATTCCCTCTCTCTTATAGACAAATAAACTGCAGTCTACTCTGGACCTTCCGGATTGTTCGCGGCCAGGGTTGCTCATTAAGAGCAGAGGACTTCTTTGAGTTCGCCCGTACAAACCAACTACGCGGCCATGCATACAAAGTCGGGAATGAGCGCACGCGTTTAGACCGACGAAAATTTTCATTCAGCCAGCGGGTTGTTAGACCGTGGAACTCGCTTCCAAGCGAGATGGTGACGGCTGACACAGTTTGTGTGTTTAAAAGAAAACTTGCTCGTCTAGTTTTCGACAGAAATCGGCTTGTACAGCATGACTATGCACAGCCAGTTTTGTAAAATCTGTCGTATACAATCTTCCGCACTAATTTACAGTGACGCTATGCACAACCTTATGCTTGAACTGTGACCCAATCACATTTTAAATTCCTGCAATTTAATTTAATTTTTGAGTATGAATCTGCGAAAGCACTGTACATAAATAGGGTCATCAAGGGCTCTGCCTGTAACCCTTCAATATATACATATACATATACAATACTGCTTGACCCGCATACGTACCCCTCATGAATGACATTTTTTTGCACTGGCGACATCCGTTTTGTAATCTGTTATACACTGTCACATGCAGGCCGGTCCTGTCCGCATTTTTAGCCTTTCATGAGCGACTGTTTTTTCGTCTTTAATGTTAATCCAAGAATTGTGCTTATGTTGAGTGTTTTTCACTGCTCGCTCGTCATTTTCCTTAATGGACTACTTATTCAGTAACTATGTATTGCCTATGGTACAGATTCTGTGTACTTCTTTTAAACACCATATGATATTTTATTTTTGGTTGCTATGAGTGGAAACAAAAGGGTCTTCAATAAAATTATCTTATTTATTTACCAAATAAACTGAATCTCTCTGACCAGTGTGAATATGAGCTTCGAGCAGTCACTACGTCCTTGTGCGAAAATTTGGCGTGTTGTGCGGATAGTCAGCTCGTGTGGCATATTTGAAACGGGCTATACAGCTCTGTTAGCCATTTGCGCCGAATCTAAATATCAGATGTCTGACCGACTAGGACAGTGTTTGATGCCGGAGAGAGTGAAGGGAGTGAGGTCGACTGTATTAGCGCACACTAGTTACTGCCGTATTTGAAACTATGCTGATGTGATAGCGGCCGTTCCTCGCAAGGCTGTCAACTTACGGACTAAGTTGTCCCTCCTCACAGAACTTAGAGTCAGGTCTCAATTGCGCCTTCTTAATGTGACCATTATGGCACTCCGGATCAGTTGAGAGCAGATCATCCCTCTACTCATGTGGTATGAAAATCCTGATCTTTGTGCGCCGACCAAGGGATGCTGCGTCACGCCTGGGTTCGGGCTCATATAGTGCCAACCACCTCCGTTTCATCCCACCTCCGGTCCCCTTTAATCTGTCTTGACAAGAGGTTGAGGAGTGTGAGAAGAATAGAGTGTAGAACAAGCAGCAAAATTCTACTGCCATCCTAAAGCAATTCAGCCACAACTCTCCGTCCTTGCGCTCCATGGGGCGCACGGTAATTATAATCCTTTGCGTCATTATAATCTAGGGTCTAAATCTTACTGTATTCGTCGAATAGCACGATTATGCCTGTGTGGAGATCAGGGATTCCGCCTGAAGATGAAATGCTGGTTGTGAGTTCGGTGCATGCCACGCAGCGCGTCAGCGATACTTCGTTGGCTTCCTCCAAGTTTAGCCCGGACAGTTGTGTTGGAAATGCACAGCGTTTCGGGCGTAACCCATGCATGCATTTTGCTTCCAGTGGAGAACAAATTTTTCTTGTAGGTCTTTGTCACAAGGAATAGAAGACGGTTTACAAGAGACGAAATTACAAGTACTTTTGAGCATATATTATTTTTTGGCTGCTGACAATCTTCCCGTTGTCGAGAAGCCAGGGACGTTGATCACTGAACCAAAGTTTTCTCCGTAAGCCTCGCTAGCCAAAACAACCTTCATTTTGTACGATCGGTCCATGGATGTTCGCGTAATTCATGCCTCCGAGAAGTCTATGAAACTGAAATACATTGCAAACATGTAGTTTAGCATTGTAAGTAGGAACACTGTGTAGCGGAAATTGTTTTCACTGCCGAAGAAAATTAGAGGCAACTATTCACCTAGAAGCACGAGACGACTCAGCCCTAGAAGGCCGAATACCAATATAAAACTATTTCATCCTCAGTTTGGATTTTTCCGTTGACGGAATCAGGATACGTAAGTTACGTTAAATTCGGTCTTGGCAACGATCAGAAGTAAACGAAATCAGTTACTAGCAGGACTTCCAGGCCATCACAAGACTAACAGAGAGACAGTCTTTAGATGTATTCAACACAACAATGTTGGTAGTGGAAACAGAAGCTGAGCAATTTTTGCTCCACAGAAATAGCTGCTATTGGCTCATAACAATGGATCTTGGAAAATCCTTGCGTGCATGAACTGTTATGATATATTTGCTTGCTGTTGACAGTCGTTTACTAATCCCCGGCTACTTCCATTCAAGGTCGTTCTCTGATAATCCGCTAGTGAACTGAAGTCCCGTACTATAAGAGTCTTGGCAGACTGGGCAAGTTTCCAAAAAAGACGTTTTGTCGGTTGCCATTGGCTTTAATTAGTACTTTAAACTTAACTTTTTAGATATAAAAAATCAGGTCAAAGTGCTTGTTTGTATTGACCACTTCTCATCGTCTTATTTACAGTGCGAATATTAAGTATACAGTTCCGTTAGATGGCCTACTGGTACGCCAGACACAAGCGCGTGGATTTATCAATAGTTCCCGTTCGTGCATGCTGCTGCATAGACAACCGATTAGGCTGCTTTCTGGCAGCTCTAACGACCTTGGTATTATTTGCCGCTTCATTTTAACTCCCCAGATATGCACGCTTTTGGCGTTTATCTTCGTTCTGATGGACGTAGCCCAATTTGCGGACTTAAATTTTACTATCAGGGGAGGATTTCCAGCGCAGTGGAGAATGCCATTTTGGAAAGGTTTAGAGATTCCATATTTTCCACAGTCTCATCATCTGTAGGTTTTATCTTGTGTGACATCGCGATGTTCATCGCTCACATAATTCTTTTCGGTTTCACTGTTGCACTTGTTGTGGCTATTTCATGGCCAGAAAAATTCGTATGTGTTTTTACCTCCTAATTCTCTTAGCGTATTTATACCCTGAAACCTGCTGTCTTTAATTATTTTCTCGTGCTCCTTTTGCACACAATTGTGGAACTTGGAGTCAGCACTTATATATACTCATGGTATGGCCTAGCTGCGTGGGTAGGTTTCAGACTATTTTAACCTTATGTTTCAGAGAGCACCTTACCTTATCGTCAACATAATGTTTTATATTATTCGTTTTGTTTTACATGTAAGTCATTCTATTTCCTTTTAATAATTATGCATTATGAAATAAATAGGAAGACAAACTCACGCAGAATTTATAGCTCGAGGATCCTTTTTTATTTAACTAAATGTCACTTTTAGTGATAGAGAATAATCTAGACTTCTAGCCATTTCGGGGGCTTCTGCGCATAAGCTTGAATATTTTTCAATTTAGTGAAGAACGATGTGATTTAACGACGTTGTTGACAATTCCGATTTCAGAAATACAAAATAATAATGTTCGAACTCACTGTGCGCACTTAACGCCATGTTAGTGCGCGGTTCGCCGGTGTGTTTCTTCCTTCGTTGCAGCTGGGAGATACATACAAATAATCTTTCCTTCATTCGTAATTTTGACAAACAAAATGTCCTCAAATAGAACTGAGTAATCGGAAAACATTATGGTATTCCAACCATAGACATTTGTCGAAGAAAGTCCAAGGTTCGTCCGATAGCTGTCAAGTAAAGTAAAGTGCGCTTTCACATAACTGAATAATAGGTTTAAAGAAGTTAAAGGTTTGATTAAAAGCACGACATGAAATTGAAGTAGACGTCGAAAAACATTGGTCGAAGTGTTGATAACCAGTTTTTTTTCTAGTTGTTATTCGTAGTTGGTTTTGCCATAGATCCTTTGATTTTTGCTACTTTTGCATGTTTTTTAAAAATGTGTAAGCTATTCCACGCGGTGGCAGATTTATCAAACCCATTCTTATTTACTTCAGGTATGGTTTCTCGTTATCAGCTATTCCTATATTTTGGAACTGAGACAAGAACTTTACGCCCCAGTTGATCCCGAAATGAGTCAAGAAATTGAAGCCCTCAGCATAGCTCCCAGTGCTATATCTGGGGTCAGGTACTCAGGACGTCATTATGCTCCATCTTCCATTGCTGGGTCTCATATGCGTTAAGAAGCTGTATGCTGGCATCAAGCAGTCCATCGTCTTCACTTATGTAAACGTTGGAATGATAAGCTATATTTATTGTAGACATAATGTGCCCTTCTGTTTATAATTATGTTCAAAAAAATGATGCAATGAACACAATAACTTATTGATACGGTTCTTATACTGTCCGAGAAAGTGTCATCTTTTTGTCTCTTGACTTGCCCTTTTGTTTTTTCGGAGCATCGCGTGCACTCTAGTCATCATAGAATCCAGACAGACCTAAATTAAAAAGCATAAATAATCGGTGTTATTGTGGTCTGACTTGAATAGTTTATTGTTCAGCATAAAACGGAATTGAGCTTTAAGCTGCCATCTTCTTAATAAAACCCGTTTTCAACTGTTAGGCAAGCTTTGCCCAGTTAAGATACACTTTCTCGAGCAAAGTCCGAAAAGAGATTCCCTTAGTTTGTAGAATTCTGTGATTTTGGCACTACTATGACTTGGTCTGGGAATACTTTAAAGAGGAGGAACAGTTGCGTACATTGATGTGAGGACAAAGGATATGTTGAAGAATGCAATCCTTTAATGATCGTCTTCAACGTATGGAATCATGTGTCTTCGTGCAGCAGAATTAGCCAGTATTTGTTTACCCAGCTGTGCGCTTTGGAGCTAGTGTCTGATGTTCGGTTGTTAAACAACGACCACGAAGCCCTAAACGTTTGTTTTGACGCGTTATAAGCATTTGAGAACTTTGATTGTACAGTAAATATGTTTCTGACCGCGGGTTTAAATCCAAGAAGTCTTCTGCTCTATTCCGGCCAATCTGGTCTGCAGTGCTTTTTGTGTCATTTAACAAAAGTGACTTTACGCTGTTATTTATTTTAGGTAACTTAAGTTCTGCCATATAGTTCAGTCTCAGATTTTTTTATCTGCAGATTAGGTGTTTTTGAAAAATGTGTAAACACTTTCCTCTTTACCAGCCCAATAACCAAATGCATTTGGTCTGATCTCAATGCATACATGTGAAAATGACCGTCTGTTCAAAGAAACTGTTTACCTCATTTCAAAATCTGAACAAATAGGCAATTGTAACATATTTTTGAAAGAAATGTAAGAACATAGTTTGTAAGATAACCTGAGGCAAAAACATTTAAAATAGTCAGTCTTTGAATCAGGGAAGTCCACTTTTTCATATCGGGCTCACAGAATCTTGCGTGTTTTAGACTTCCATCCTCTCATGGTGGGAGCAATTGCGCATAGAGGGTCTAGGCGGGACGTAAAAAGGTTTGGGTCAGCGAGCAGTGTACGCATATTTCCGTATTGAGCGTACGCATTTGACGCACTTGGCGAGGCGCTGCACCGATCAGGTGCTTCAGACTTACACCACTTATATGTAGCGGACACATTACTTCAACACATATATACTTGTCTAGAAGTCATAATGTCCTTCGCCAAACATCATTAGCTTGCGTGTGTTCACCTATATTCGACATTCTGGCGAAAGGCATATTGCAGAAACCCACCTTTAACCCGAAACTGTAATAGCGCTGTGTAGATGGTACATATGCCATGGCCAAAAAGATCAGCTTGGTGTGTTACGTATAAATCTTAATTCCATATAACCTGGAGTTGAGCATGCTTTTGCAACTGGAGTTGATAGGCGAGTCCCATTGCTGTGTGTCCCCGTTCATCGAAGGGCTGGTGGACCACTTTGAACATTAAAATGTTGCAAGTAGTTTGACCTTGGCGAGCGGCGATGTCCCACGGGGAGGTCGCATAATGGCGACTTCCGCGTAAATCAGTTTATAAATAGAGCAATATCTGTTGCACTTCCTGCCACTGGTGGCAAAATAAGTCAAGGCGACCGACGTTGGGCTGACAAAGTCAAAAAACCCGCCCGAGCGTGCCACACGCTATCTGGTCAACGTAAAATGTGCTGGGCATTCACAAGTGTCGGGTATGTATTAGGCATTTACAAGAGGCAGATCAGTGACGGTGTCACAGGGTCACAACCAAAAAGAGTCACTGGGTCTTGCTTGCAGTCCTGCAAACAGATAACACTTTTGACCAGAGCTCTTCAATTTCCTACCTACTGTGTTCTGCTATACAATCAGGCAGATAATCGTGGTGCAGAACAGCCTGAATGCAACCGAAAGATCGTTAGGCTGAATGGCCACCTCTACAGTTGACCCGTTACCGGATGGGCAATCTTTGACTCCAACACCTAGTGGGCTAGACGTAACTGTTGAATTCTACTCTATCTTTTATAGTCAGTTGGACAAATTTATTGCTTATGCCCTAAAAACCTCTTCAAGGGTCTGGCATATCGGTTCGGTTCTGCAGACGCACTTAGCATAGTTTGTAAGCATAATAGTAAATAGTTTCACTAAGAGGGCCTAAAGGGGTCCAAGATCCAGAAAAAGTGTGTCCTCTGAGATGGTAGAGGTGTCGGCTTCTAGAGATGTTGTCAGGTACCTTGGCGACTGAGTCGCAGCCGCCTCTGATTGGTAAGGCATGCCCGTTTTGTTGCTGCGAGCGAATTTTCTGTTAGAAATGAAAGACAAATCCCTCATAAAGGGCGATTGATTACTGGAGGGGATAGTTCTTTCAATAAGAAGGGGTAGATGATTGCAACGGCAAGTCGGAGACTCATAATGCCCGCGATTCAAGCTTAGCTGTGAAAATGAAATCTAGAAGAAGACGAAGGCACAGTCACTGGGACGGTAGATTTATTGGCTTTAGCCTTCGAACTCGAACTGTAGTTCATCATCAGAGACTGCTAGAGTGCAGCAACGTATGAACATTTATATCGCTGTGCCGTAATTGGGGGGGGGGGGAGGGACTAAGTCCGTGCCCAGGTCTGGTTTTTTCTGCCTGGCCCACAATGATCACCCGACGTGGTGGCGGCGTTTTCACTTCATGGCGATGTGAGCTGCGCCACCCCGTTTCGTGGGCGTAGTGCGTGATAACACACGTGATAAATGTTCACACATTGCTGCACTCTAGCGGTCCCCGATGATGAACTCCAGTTCGAGTTCAAAAGCTAAGGCCAATAAATCTACCGTCCCAGTGATCGTGCCTTCGTCTTCTTCTAAACAAGAACCTGGGATGCGCATGTTCTCCTCCATTCCAGAAAATGAACTTTCATAGCGCTATGTTGCTCTATTCAGTGACCTACCATAAGTAATGTTTTATCTTTTAAAATTTGCTGCTAATCCACACTTACGAGGAAATTGCTTTTTGTATGGAAAAAGGCTAAAAGAATTGTCTCCGCCACATTCTGCTTCGGTACACCGGCCAAACGGTGTACCGACAAGACGGTCAGTAATGAGCCAGAAATGGCCATCCCAGTCCCTCTTCTCTTGTTGGTACACCGTTTGGCCTTTTGTTATATGTTGTACTAAGATTGCTTCTGGAGCCACGTGGTAGATGAGCTGGACAGGTTGGAGCCGGGAATGTGCCTCCCGCCATAACAAAAGCCCCCATTTGGGGTGTGGTAGCAGGCCCGGCTGCCCGTTCACGCCGTGCCGACTGGGATCCGTCTCATGTCCCTATTTCCTTGACGTATGAAATCCTGATCGGTGTGGATTTTGGATCAGGGCTTGTGGTTTCAAGCCTAGGTGAGTGTCTTCGTCGTGCCAGCCACCTGCGTCCCCATTCCTGCTTCCAGCCATCTTGACTCCGTCATGATGGTAGGCTCAAGTTGGTGAGGAGGTGAGATTGCGTTAGATGCCACGAAATCCTGCCATTGCTATTAGATTATTTGTGCGCACGTTTCTGTCCCTATGTCTCCTTGCTCACACGCGGTGGACCTGTTCGTATACGGCGGTCGAACTGGCGTGTTCTGGAAAATGTTCACAAACATTCGTCTTTCTTTTGCATCAGGTGTATTTAGCTCGCATTGAAATCAGAACAAATGCTCCAACTGCCTGACATCGCCTCAAATCTCTATGATGCCCTATCCGTGTGAATAGTACTGCTCGCCTGCTTCAAATTTTGTTGGCATACTCAAACTCCGCGTGTACTAGATCAGAATGTGGCGGGAGACAATTATTTTAGCCTTTTTTCATGCGAAAAAGCAATTGGTGGAATAGCAACAAATTTTTAAAGATAGAATATTACCTAAGGTAGGTTACTGAATAGGGCAACATAGCACGATGAAAATGCATTTTTTCAGATGAGTTTGAATCGCGGACATTATGAGTCTCCAACTTGCCGTTGCAATTATCTACCCCTTCTTCTTGAAAGAGCTATCCCCTCCAGTAATCAGTCGTCCTTTACGAGGGGTTTGTCTTTCATTTCTAACAGAAAATTCGCTTGCAGCAACAAAACTGACTCGCCTTACCCATCAGAAACGGCTACGACTCAGTCTTCAAGGTACCCGACACAATTTCTAGAAGCCAACCCTTCCACCTCCTCAGAAGGCGCACGTTTTGTGGATCTTGGGTCCCTAAGGCCCTTTTACTGAAATTACTTAATACTAAGCTAATAGACTATGTTAAGTGCGTCGGCAGAACCGAGCCGATATGCCAGACCCTTGAAGAGGTTTTTAGGGCATAAGCAATAAATATGCCTAAGTGACTGTTAAGGTAAGATGAGGACCGTTCTGCACCACGATTATCGGCCTGATACTTTGTACGCACGTTTTTGTCCCTAGACCTCCCTGCTCTGGAGCGCAAGCTGGACTCGTTCAGATACTACGGTCGAACTGGCGTGTTCTGAGAGATAGTTGCGACTCAAGTCTACTGTACTTTGAAAACAAATCATGCTGAAATCGCCGTTCCTGCTTTCACCATGCTGTGGATCACACGGTGGACCTGGTTGGATACGAGGTTTCAACTGTCGGGTCGCCGGTCACAGTGTGATGGATTCGGAATTAACCTGCAAATCCTATGCATGATGTTAAGGCGCGATTGCTGTGAGGACAGGCTCAGAGCGATTTTGCATTGCTGATGTTGATAAAAGTGAGGACGGTGCTTTCTGGGACGTAGGTAGTGCTCTCCGCGGTAATAGGAATGGGAGTGGTGGAAATCGTCTTCACTCTACTGGTGAACCAACACTGGGGCTAGATCTGTGTCCGACATGCGTTATTGGGAATGGGCAATAGATGGCACGCGCCTCGCTATTCGGAATTTGAGCTGACCCCTCCTTTTCCATGTTATTTAAAGTCCTTATCAGTTGTTCGGATTTCGCTGTGCCAGGCACCTCCGGTCTTTCTGACCCTGTCTTGACACCAGACGCGGGTGAGGAAGAGGGAGAAGGTGTGGTAGGTGCCGCGCATGCCCGCTGTCACTATACAAGGTAAGGATCTGGTAAAGGCCTCCGACAATCTACGGCCTACAAATAATGTCTACTACATGCGTTTAAGTAGGTTGCGTTTTATTCATTACTCTCCTAAACACGGAATTTGCTCACGGACGCTGCATTACCTGCCATGAACTTAACTTCACGCGCACTTCACCGTCCCTGCTCTCACCCCGCTATGGAGCACACAATGAAGATTGTCGAAAACGACGGTCGAACTGTCAGTCGTCGTTGTTCCCGTCGTCACTGGCAGCATGGCAGCGAGGATATAGGTCGCGGTGTGCGTCTACTCATCGATGGGAGGGGTAGTGAGGTTGGTGGATGTCTTCGTGGGCGTCATGATGGTCCTGGCAGGGCGTTTGGTAAGGCAGCAAGTGGAGCTGTCGGCTTGATTTTGCACTGGGTTCGGGGATGTCCGCCTAGGCCCATTAGCGTGTAGAATATCAGGTAACAGCCTAGAAAATTTGCAGTTGTTGGAGTGCCGAGGAAGTGGGTCCGCGGTCTTTTCGACTTGTGAGTGGCCCTTTTGGTTTAGGCGGCAGTGATACGGTTGATTTCTTGAACTGCCGCTTTAGTCTTCGTTGAACTTGCCCAGTCGGTCTTGGACGAGATTATCCTAGCAGTCTGGAGGCGCTGCCGATAAAAATACAGCTGGCACGTCTCGTACTCACTCAACCCAACTAACTATTCATTTTTCGTTCGGCTTTCTCGCCCGAACTTCGGTCTGGGACGGGAACACTTGTAGTGGCCCTACTCCAAGCGCCTGTCTCAACAATGGGCATCTCGCGAGTGCCTGGACATGCGCGTCAGGACTGTCCGGCATTCGCCCACTCGGCTCTCCAGCTGACCAATCAAATTCCAGCCCGAGTCAGACGTGTCCTGGCTTAAGATGCTTTGACACTTGGGACGCTGACCATCCGGCGCCGGACGAGCCCTCGTCCGGTTTCCAACTCTCTCCAACTGCTTCTTCAGTTATTCTGTACAGAAGATACTATCCTTCCCACTGGTGTCCGCCCTCACTTTCCATTCGGGACTGCGCCTGATGGTCGTCGCAGCCAGGGTCTCACTGGCAGCCTAGCCTATCTGCGATAGGTTAACCAGCGTTGCCCGTGATAAATACTTCAGTTTCGGAATCTCAGCTAACTTAGGACAAACCGTTCGGATTGAAACTTTACATGCTTCAGTGTGAAAGACACTCGTGGCCTAGCCTATCTGTGATCAGAGTACCGTAGGTCGCGTTAAGGAGCCAGCAGTCCGCCACTCCACACGTAACACACACAACTGGGCAGACTGCGGGGTCTGAGTTGGGGCGTCAGTCAGCAGCCTTCCAATCCGCGGCGCTTGACGCGTCGGGATAGCCTCAGAATCGAATCACACATGCAACAAAGAGGCAGCATGGACACTGAGTCGAGACGCACACATTCAAATTGCGTGGGAGTTGGCAGTTGAATGCTTGTGGTGGATGATGTTGCGTGTTGTGTGTGGAGGAAGATGTGATGGTGTGGCGTAGCCGGCAGATGTCTACCGCAGGTTTTCGTAGATGTGCATGTGGCCTAGTAGGCCCATGCGGTGGGAGAATGTGCGGGTGCAGTGAGGGCAGTTGAGGCGGATGCGGCGAGTGTACAGTTGCTTGACCGATCTCATGAAATGTTGGCCAAATTCTGGAATGCGTTTCCGATTAGGAAGGATTACTTAAGTGGGCTTGTTATACTGATAACCCTGCAGCATAACCCTATAACACTTTGGACTCGCCAGAATGTCGGCTTTTGAATGCACTTATTTTTGACCTCCTACAGAAACCGCACTCGGTAAACAATGACTGCCTATGTGGCATGCATTTTTCCTATTGATTTTCGATGGTCTTGTAAATTTAAATATATTTTACAGAAAAACATACACAGAAATATACCTTTTTGCTCATTTGGTAGGAAATCACATTTTTTTCATATTTTATGCCCGAGGAAAGTGTATATTTAGGTTTTAAAAAGGTTTCTAATTATGAGATTTTGAAGGCCGTGCGATGTCCCTGCATGCAAGACCGCACATGTCCGTTTACTAATGCTCCTCATGAAATGTACAACACAGTCCGGATCCATTGCAAAAATTTCATGAACTCTATGTGATATCTTCCTAAACGCAGGGAGGAATATATGATTTCTCTTACGCGGAAAGCATGCGCCTTGTTGACTGTAATTGCTAAACACTGAAGCAACGACAGATCGGGCTGCAAATTATTCGGGAATTAGGAAACTTTTTAAAACCTAAATACACAATTTCTTCGGGTATAATATACAAAGACAATGTAATTTCCTTCCGAGTCAGCAAAAGAAAGCATATTTGGTACATGGTTTCTGCAAAATATATCTGCATTTACAAAACTATCAAAAATCAATAGGAAAAATGCATTCTACATAAGTAGCTATTTTTTACCCAGTGTGGTTTCTGCAGGTCGAATAGAAGTGCATTCAAAAGCCGACATCCTGGCGAGTCCGAAATGTTATAGGGTTGTGCTGCATGATAATCAGTATAACAACCCCACTTAAGTAATCCTTCCTAATCGGAAACGCATTCCAGAATTTGGCCAACATTTCATGAGATCGGTCACGCACTGTATGTGGAAGCTCTAGGCACTGGTTCGCCAGTCTTTCTGCGATGGAATCGCAAGCGACCGACCGGGCCAATGCGTGCGTTGAATGTACGGTGTCAGTGGGGACAGGAGAAGGTGGTGTCGTGCTGATGGTGGACGCGCTGGACGACGAGGTGTGTGTGTTGAGATAGGCATGGTGGATGTGCAGGATGTGTCAGGTGTGTCAAGGCTGCGGTCAATTCCGCTCTCGTGGATACGCACGTAACCGAATAGACCCATGCGGCGAGTAAATGTTCCGAGGCAGTGCGGACAGCGGAGGCGAATGCGGCGAGTGTAGGTTGGTGCTTCTCCACTACAAACATAAAAGTCGTGGCCCCATAGTGGGATTCGGTCGCGCCAACCAGGCACATAGGCAGGCCGATTCAGGGGCGGCCCTGCCTGCCCCCACGAAGGGAAGGGCTTAGAAAAGGTGGCCTAAAAAATGCTGGGCATAACGCCGTCTGCACGTTAGCCAGGGCAGCAGATGCCATCAACACGGTCGAAAAAATCAAAATCGAAACAACAACAACAACAACAACAACCATACTCATTCTCCTCATCCTACCTCTCCTTCATCTTCCTCCGTCTATTCTTCTGCCTATTCTTCTCCTTCGTCATCTTCTTCTCCACCTCCTTCCTGTCGTCCCACTCGTTGTCCTCAGACTGGCAGGGTGAGCCCGCTCACTCTGGCAGCCTGGGATGTTCGTTCCCTTTTAGACAATCCGAGGAGCAACCGACCGGAACGAAGGACGGCGCTAGTGACACGGGAACTGGCGCGCTACAAGGTGGAAATCGCCGCACTCAGCGAGACCCGATTCTCCGAACAAGGTCAACTGGAGGAGGTGGGTACCGGCTACACCTTCTTCTGGAGCGGTCGACCCAGGGCAGAGCGACGGGACGCGGGTGTCGCCTTCGCCATTCGGAACGACATCGTGGGACGACTGCCTTGTTTGCCGCAGGGCATCAATGATCGCCTGATGAGCCTCCGCCTGCCTCTCTGGGGAGGCCAATTCGCCACCATCATCAGCGCCTACGCTCCGACGATGAGCAGTCCCGACGCCGCCACAGGAGACAAATTCTACGAGGACCTGCACGCCCTCTTGGCGACTGTGTCGAAGGCGGACAAGTTGATTGTCCTTGGTGACTTCAACGCCCGCGTCGGCACAGACCATACTGCCTGAAGAGGAGTGCTGGGCCCCCACGGTCTCCGCGGCTCCAACGAAAATGGTCTGCTGCTGCTTCGCACCTGCACAGAACACCGCCTCATCCTGACGAACACCTTCTTCTGTCTGCCGGAGCGAGAGAAGGCCACCTGGAGGCATCCTCGGTCGCGCCACTGGCACCTGCTGGATTATGTCCTCGTCCGGAGGCGAGATCAGCGGGACGTGCTGGTGACGAAGGCGATCGCGGGCGCTGACGGGTGGACCGACCATCGCCTCGTCATCTCGAAGATGCGTATTCGCCTAGAGCCTCGCAGGAGACCACAAGGTAAGCGACCCCCAGGTAAGCTGAATGTTGTCTTATTGTCTTTGCCACCTCACCCTCTTCATTTCAGCAATGAGCTAGCTGAACGGCTAGACAACGTTCGAATCGCTGCCGACGCCGCCATTGCCGAGAACGCCTCCGTGGAGACCGCTGGTGTCAACTGCGAGACACGGCCAGGCGACGGCGCTCGCCGTCCTCGGTCATGCTCCTCGCCAACACCAGGACTGGTTCGACGACAACGACGCCGCCATCAGAAATCTGTTCTCCGAGAAGAACCGCCTACACAAAGCCTACGTAGATCACCCCACTGAGGACAGCAAGGCTGCCTTCTTCCGCAGTCGCCGCCAACTTCAGCAACGACTGCGCGAGATGCAGGATGCCTGGACTGCTCGCAAAGCTGAGGAGATCGAAGGGTACGCGGACCGCAACGAATGGAAGAACTTCTTCTCTGCGATCAAAGCTGTCTACGGTCCGCCGACGAAGGGCACTGCTCCTCCCCTCAGCGCCGACGGCAGCACTCTCCTGACTGAGAAGACGCAAATCCTACAGCGATGGGCCGAACATTTCCGAGGCGTCCTCAACAGCCCCTCCGTCATCTCCGACGCCGCCATCGAGCGTTTGGCGCAAGTAGAGACCAACGTGGACCTCGACCTACCGCCATCTCTCCAGGAGACCATCGGGGGCGGGCAGCAGCTCTCCAGCGGGAAAGCACCCGGATCGGACGCAATGCCTGCTGAGGTCTACAAGCACGGAGGTCCCCAACTGATGGATCACCTGACTGCGCTCTTCCAAGAGATGTGGCGTCAAGGTGAAGTCCCGCAAGATTTCAAAGACGCAACCATCGTGCATCTCTACAAGCGCAAAGGGAATCGCCAAGTCTGCGACATCTCCCTGCTGAACATCGCCGGGAAGATCTTCGCACGAATCCTCCTCAACCGCCTCAATAACCACCTGGAACAGGGCCTTATGCCGGAAAGCCAATGCGGCTTCCGTCGTCATCGCGGGACCACGGATATGATCTTCGCCGCCCGTCAACTTCAGGGGAAGTGTCAGGAGATGCGGACCCACCTGTACCCTACCTTCGTGGACCCGACGAAAGCCTTCGACACGGTGAATCGTGAAGGACTGTGGAAGATCATGCAGAAATTCGGCTGTCCGGAGCGATTCACTCAGATGGTGCGTCAGCTGCACGACGGTATGATGGCGCGAGTCACGGACAACGGAGCTGTCTCAGAGGCATTCGCAGTGACCAACGGCGTGAAGCAGGGCTGCGTAATGGCACCCACCCTCTTCAGTCTTATGTCCTCTGCCATGCTGATGGACGCCTACCGCGACGAACGCACCGGGATCCGCATCGCCTACAGGACGGACGGTCACCCTCTGAATCAACGGCGGAGGCAATTCCAATCGCGCTTATCCACAACCGCCGTTCTCGAGATTCTGTTCGCCGACGACTGCGCCCTGAACACCACCTCGGAAGAAGAGATGCAACGGAGTATGGACCTGTTCTCCGCCGCCTGCGAGAACTTCGGTCTGGTCATTAATACGCAGAAGACGGTGGTGATGCACCAACCGCCACCCAACTCAGCCACACCCGCCAACGCGCCGCCGCAAATCAGCGTGAACGGAACCCAACTGCAGGTTGTGGAGAACTTTCCGTACCTGGTCAGTACTCTCTCCCGCAACACCAAGATCGAGGACGAAGTCTCCAACAGGATCTCAAAAGCCAGTCAAGCCTTCGGTCGCCTCCAAAGCTCACTTTGGAATCGTCACGGTCTCCAACTGAGCACGAAGCTGAAGATGTACAAGGCCGTCATCCTGCCGACGCTGCTATACGGAGCGGAGACTTGGGCGGTGTACACGAAGCAGGCACGCCGACTGAACCACTTCCACCTCAGTTGTCTGCGTCGCATCCTGAGACTGAGTTGGCAGGATCGCATCCCCGACACTGATGTGCTGGAATGAACGGGAATCCTCAGCATCTACGCCATATTGAGACAAATGCAGCTGCGCTGGAGCGGCCACCTGGTGCGCATGGACGACGAGCGACTAGCCAAACGACTCGTCTACGGAGACGTCGCCACGGGTTCTCGCCGTCAAGGAGGCCAGATTCGCCGTTACAAGGATACCCCAAAGTACTTCCTGAAGCGCCTGCAAGTCAACGTGACCAACTGTGAGGAGATCGAACTCGATCGACCGACCTGAAGGAGGACAGTGAAGACAGGCGCTGCTATCTACGAAGACAACCGCATCGCTGCCGCCAAAGCGAAACGCGAAGCCCGCAAATCACAACTTCGTCCAGTACTCAACGCCGCCGCACAACCGCTTCCAACGTGTCCCCGACGTCAACGGACATTCCAGGGTCGAATCGGACTTGTTGGACATCTTCGGATCAATTGTGCCTCTCGAACTGCACCAACCATCGTCCCCCCGCCCGCTTCTTACTCCTCTCCGCCGCCAACTAACTCTGACAATTCCTCTGAACCACCACTTCCACCCTCCTCCTCCTCCCCCTCCCCCTCCTCCTCCTCCTCCTCCTCCTCCTCCTCGTCCACTGCTCCAACGACGGCCGCTCAGGCGACTGTTCCGCGAGCAACAGCCGACACTACCACCACCTCCCCCGTCTCCAACGATGAGGATCAAACCTAAACCTGCCCTCACTGCGACCGCACCTTCACCTCACACATCGGCCTGGTCGGTCACTTGCGAATCCGTCGCACAGAGACTGGCGAACCAGTGCCTGGAGCACCAACCTACACCCATCGCACTCGCCTCCACTGCCCACACTGCCCTCGCACCCTCAGACATCGCATGGGCCTATTCGGCCACATGCGCATTCACGAGAGCGGAATTGACCGCAACTCCGTCACACCTACGACATCCAGCACATCCACCACGCCCTGTCCCACGCTCGCTCCATCGACCTGCGCGCCCATCACCACCACCATCACCGCCTCCTCTGTAGCTGACACTGACACCGCCAACTTCTCATGCCCACACTGTCCACGCACATTCACCTCACGCATCGGCCTGGTCGGTCACTTGCGAATCCATCGCACAGAGACTGGCGAACCAGTGCCTGGAACACCAACCTACCCACCACGCTCGACTCAACTGCCCACACTGCCCTCGCACCTTCAGGCATCGCATGGACCTATTCGGCCACATGCGCATCCACGACGGCCTGCGGTAGACAACCGCAGGCCACACCACACATTCACTCACTCCCTACCTCCCACCACCACCACCACCACCACCACCACCACCACCACCATCACCCCACCAGACATCAACACTCACACACCTCATGCACCCAACTGCCACCTCCCACCCAAGTGGGAAGTGTGCATCTCGACTCGGTCCTCATGCGGCTTCGGCTGCACGGGTGACTTGAGTCCGCGACTAACCCGACACGTCAATCGTCGTGGACTGGAAGGTTGCTGATTGACGCCCGCTCTCGGTTCACGCGGTTCGTCGCGTCGTGTGTGTGTGTTGTGTGGAGTTGCGGACTGGTGGGCTGGGGACGGGCTGAGACAGCACCTTCCACGTCACTCTCACGCAAGTGAGAGACACGCTGTTCAACCCCCGTTGTGTGAAATCCTGGTGTTTGTGTGTATGGGGGGCCAGGTTGTGCCGTGGCGCGCGCAGTCATGGTCAGTCGGCCATGACAGCCACCGTGCCCATCCACCACTCCAGTTTGCCGACCGGCTCGGACGGCGGCTGGGGTGTGGGAGTGGGAAGGGAGAGTGAGGTCGACGACTCAGCGCACTTTCTCCTCACTATAACAATCGGACGCGCTTGGAGCTATCACGGTGTGCTAAAAGCCGTGGCTTGGAAAGTTGCTAACTGACGGGGTAACTTGGACCTCCTCCTTGACTGGAGGCGGTCTGAGAGTCAGGCTGCAATGACTCCTTTTAATGTGGCCTTTATGGCACTCCCACCACAGTGTGGGATCCCAGCCAGGCGTTGGCGGCACGCCTAGGTGCGGCTTCGGCCGTGCCAGCCTCCAAATCTTTGCTGTGTTGGTTGAAATCCTGGTCATTTGTTGTGTGGATCAGGGGGTGTGGTGGAACGCCAAGGTGAGGATCCGTCCGAGCCATCCACCTGCGGCCTACCTCGTCGCCGGTCTTCTTGACTCTGTCTTGACACCGGGCTCAGGCGGGGGAGGAGGAGAGAGTGAAGGTAGATGCAGCGCAAGTCTACCGGCACTATAAACCCCTGCGCAAGTCACCGTCCCTGCTCCCACCGTTGCAGCTGCAGCTGTGGGGCACGCGGTGGACATTGTAGCGGCACAGCAGAGAGAATAAGTGCTCTGTGCGCTACAATTATCAAGTCAAATCCCAGGTTGTAAGGAGAAGACAGAAGGAACCAGAATGAGGGATTTATTGTGCACTGAACCCGGTGTTGTCCTCTCAGGCGGCAGTGGCCATTGGCGAAGCCGGGGCTGGTGTTGACTGCGTCCAGTCAGGCCTGAGAGTCACTGAGATAGTGGTTGCACCCGCTTTTGTAGGCTCGTGGGCCAAGCTCAAGTGGTGTCCAGTCAGCGTGTGTTGCATTTGCCGAGGGGTGGTGTCGCAGTGGCTTGTTTTGCTGGTTGCAGGGGGTGGCGCGTTCAAGTGGCCGCATGGGCAGCTGCGACTGCGCGGACGCAGGTATGCCCGAGCTGTTGGTCGTGTGACTTCAGGTCAGCTCGGCTGGGACGGCTCACTGCAAGGGGTGAATGACCTTGAGGCAGCGAGGTCTTGAACAATGACGCCAGACCGGTTATGATGGCTGGGCGTTACAACATCATCGAAATCGATGGTCGAACTATTCAGGTTGGTGCTACAGACACTGGTTCGCCAGTCTCTGTGCAACAGATCCGCAAGTGACCGACCAGGCCGATGTGTGAAGTGCAGGTGTTGTCACAATGAGAACAGGTGTAGCTAGGGTATACGTCGCTAGAGTTTTTGGTGGGGGGGGGAAGGTTGGTGTTTGTTGGTGTGCCAGGATTGTATGCGGTGGTGATAGGTACAGGATCCACCGTAGCGGATGTTTAGGCAATGGAGGAGGAGGAAAATAGTGTAGGTTCGAGAGTGCGATCAGTGTTATTTGTCGGCGGGAAGGATGAGGCAGTAGTGAACGAGGAGACAGCAGCTGGTGTAGTCCGGGTACTGCAGTTTGTACGGGGATGTCCTACAAGGATGATTGGTGCTGGGAATGTCCGCTGACAGCGTGAGCATGTAGGGCGTGGTTGAGCCTTGGCTTTGCGAACTGGACGAAGTTGTTATTTGCGGGCCTCGAGTTTGGCTTTGGCTTTGGCGATGCGGTTGGCCTCATAGATCACTGCATCTGTCTTCACCGTCCTTCTCCAGGTAGGTCGGTCTCGGGCAGGGTCTTTCCAGTTAGTCGGACTGATCCGCAGACGCTTCAGGGAAGTTATCCACGACTTGCATTTGGGCGCGGTTCACTTTGGATTGGGTTGCGACGTAGGCAGCCAATTCGACCTCCTTGGCGGAGAGAACCCGTGGCGACGTCTCCACAGAAGGGTCGTTTGGGTAGCCGCTCGCCGTCCATGCGCACGAGGTGGCCGCTCCAACGCACCTGCAGTTGTCTCAGCATGGTGTAGATGCTAAAGATCCCCGTCCGCTCCAGTACATCCGCGTTGGAGATCCGATCCTGCCAACTCAATCTCAGGATGAGACGCAGACAACTGAGATGGAAGTGGTTGAGTCGGCGTGCTTGCTTCGTGTACACCGTCCATGTCTTCGCCCCGTAAATCAACGTCGGGAGGATGACGGTTTTGTACATCTTCAGCTTCGTACTGAGTAGCAGACCGTGATGATTCCAACCTGTGCTTTTAAGGCGGCCAAATGCTTGACTGGGGGCAACTTCGTCATCGGTTTTCGTGCTTCGGGAGAGGTTACTGTCCAGGTATGGGAAATTGTCCACAATTTGCAGTTAGGTTCCGTTCATGCTGATCTGTGGCGCATTGTGGAGAGGGGCTGCGTTGGGTGGCGTTGGGTTGTGTTAATAATCGGACCGAAGTTTCTGCAGGCGGTGGAGAGGAGATCCGTGCCCCATTCTTTCAGTAGTTGTATTAAGGGCGCAACCATCGACGAACAGAAGTTCGCGTACGGTGGCTGTGGATACACCCGACTGAAAGTGCATCCGCCGCTGATTGAAGAAGTGGTCGTCCGTCCTGCAGGCGACGCGGATCCGTCGTCGTTTGTCAGGGTAGGCGTTTATCAGCATGGCAGAGAACACGAGACTAAAGAGGGTGGGCGTCAGCATGCATCCCTGCTTCCCTCCGTTGGTCACTGCGAATGCCTCTGAGACAGCTCCGTTGACTGTGACTCGCGCCATCATGCCGTCGTGGAGCTGACGCACCATCTGGATGAATCGCTTGGGACAGTTGAATGTCTGTATGAGTTTTCACAGTCTCTCGCTATTCACTGTGTCGAAGGCTTTCGTCAGATCCACTAAGGCAGGGTAGATGTGAGTTCGCATCTCCTTGCACTTCTCCTGAAGTTGACGGACGGCAAACATCGTGCCGAGGGTTCCACGGTGACGGCAGAATCCGCACTGGCTTTCCGGCAGGAGACCTTGTTTTAGATGTGGGTTCAGGTGGTTGAGGAGAGTACGAGCGAAGATTTTCCCGGTGATGTTAAACAAAGAGACGTCCCGATGGTTGTCACAGTGCTGGCGGTTACATTTCCGCTTATAGAGGTGGACGGTTGTGATATCCTTGAATTCCTGTGAAACTTCTCCTTGGCGCTACATCTCTTAGAAGAGCGCTATCAGATGATTCATAAGTTGGGGGCAATCGTGCTTGTAGATCTCGACAGTGATCGCGTCCGATCCTGGCGCTTTTCCGCTGGAGAGCTGATGCACGGCCCTGACGGTTTCCTGGAGAGATGTCGGGAGTTCAAGATCCACGTTGGTCTCCACTTGAGGCAGACGGGCGATGGCGACGTCGGAGATGGTGGAGGGGAGGTTAAGGACGCCTCGGAAGTGTTTGGCTCATGGCTGAAGAATTTGTGCCTTCTCGGTGTGTAGGGTACTGCTGTCGGCGCCGAGAAGATGAGCAGCTGCTTTGGTTGGCGGACCGTAGACAGCCTTGCTTGCGGAGAAGAAATTCTTCCATTCGTTGCGATCCGCGTAACCTTGGATCTCCTTGGCCTTGCGGGCCATCCAAGCATCCTGCATCACCCACAGCCGCCGTCGCACAAGGCAACGTCTACGGTAGAAGACTGATTTGTTGTCGTCGGTGTGGCGAGTGATGTAGACTCTGGGCATACGTTTCTTCCCGGCGAGCACGTAGCTGATGGCGGCGTCGTTGCCATCGAACCAGTCCTGTGGCGTCACTCGTGACCGAGGACGGCCTGGGCCGTCGACTGGACCGTGCCCCGCAGTTGACAACATCGGTTCGCCAAGAAGGCGTTCACGTCAGCGGTGGTGGCGACTGTGGCGGCGGCGAGTGGGGGGGTTGGCCAGCCGTTGAGCTAGCTCATTGCTGATGGAGATGGTGAGCGTGCAAAGACTACAAAGCAATATTCAGCCTACCCGGGGGGGAGTCGCTTACCTTGAGGTCTTCTGAGAGGCCGCAGGCGAATCTACATCTTCGAGATGACGAGATGATGATCGGTCCACCCGTCGGAACGCGGGGATGCCTTTGTCACCAGCGCGTCCCGCTGATGTCGCCTTCGGACGGGGACATAGTGCAGCAGGTGTCAGCGTCGCCATCGAGGGTGCATCCAGGTGACCTTCTCTCGCATTGCAAGGCGGAAGAAGGTGTTGGTCAGAATAAGCCTGTGTTCTGCGCAGCTGAGGAGAAGGAGCAGACCATTGTCGTTGGAGCGTCTAGACCATGGGGATCCAGCAGTCCTCTCCAGGCAGCACGGTCTGTGGCGACGCGGGCGTGGAAGTCACCGAGGACAATCAACTTATCCGCTTTCGGTACAATCGCCAGGAGGGCGTGTAGGTCCTCATAGATGCTGTCCCCTGCAGTGTCAGGGCTGGTCATCGGGGGGAACGTAAACGCCGACGATGGTTTCTAATTTGCCTCCCTGGAGAGGCAGGCGGGGACTCATCAGGCGATCATTGATACCCTGTGGCAGTCGGGGTAGTCGTCCCACGATGTTATTCTGGATGACGAAGGCGACGCCCGAATCGCGTCGCTGAGCCCTGGGACGACCGCTCCAGAAGAAGGTGTTTCCAGCAACCCCCTCCTCCAGTTGACCTTGTCCAGAGAACCCGGTCCCACTGAGTACAGCGATGTCCATCTTATTGTGAGCCAGCTCCCGAGTCACTAGCGCCGTCCTCCGTACCGGTCGGTTGCTCCTCGTATTGTGTAAAAGGTAACAAACATTCCGGGTTTTCGGAGTGAGCGGACTCACCCTACCAGTCTGGTGATTTGGTCGGCGGGGCGGGGGTGAGAGAGTGTTGCTTTGACCGTGAGTTTTCCGTCCGAGGCTACGGTCAGCCTGCAGACGGCGGGTGTTTTCGGCGTTTTCAAGCCCCTTCTGTCTCGCGGGGATGAACAATCCTCTCCATAAATAGGGCTGCTCAGCTGTCGAACTCCACTAATGGCTACGACTTTTGTTCAGAGGAAGAGCGACCCGAGTTCGCCTGGGGCTGCCTACGACATTGCCGTAGGACTTGAAGGGGGCGGAGGGCTGATGGGTGAAGTGTAGAGAGACGGGATGCAGAGCTTTCGCGTCTTTCTTTGAGCTAACCGGCTGCGGAAATATAAACGGTGAGCAGACAAATTCAAAAGAACAGCATTTAATTGACAATAAAGACAAATACAAGCAACCAGACAAAGAATAAAGGCAACAGAGAAAATTCAACAGAACAGAATTTTTACCTTCAAAAAGGTCAAATACATGCAAGCGGATAAAACGTGATCCAGCGGAGCAATGTTCCGATGCTTGTGGCCTCCCGCGGTGTTGCAGACTAGGCCTCGCCTCGAAGACACCGAGGCGGTGATCCCTCTAACCAGCGGAGCCGAGTTCACCATGTACGTCGATGCACACACGGATACCCTCGCCGGTCCAGGCGGTTACCGGAATGTGGCCGCTAGACAGAGCCTAGCTTCGGGGAGCCACATTTGAGAGTTGGGCGCCAGTTAATGAACGCCAGACGTTGTCAAAATATGCAAACAAGTGAGCGATCTACTGAGATCGTCAATTCGACCCACAACCGTACACCCCTACACCCCAAGCACACGCACACGACAGTTCGACCGTCGTTGCCGACGATGTTCGCCGCGTGTTCTACAGCATGGCGAGTGCAAGGACGGTGATTACGCGGATTTTCTGAAAGGAAACGAACACTCCAGGTCGTCAGATACGATACAAACTCGGATTACATGTGGGGTGGGTCAGGAAAGATGAGGACTTGGCCAGCGCGGAAATGCGTGATCCCTACATTCGTTTGATGCACCCTTTCCAAGCCCTTTCCCACGAGATGTTAGGCAACGTTAACCCCAAATATGGCTGTTTAGACATCTAAGACCACTGGCAAACTCCACTGTGTATCACGGTTTTGTTTATTGGTGGGCGACCCGCTATAGCCTGGGCTGCCTATGGGATTCCATATTGACCTCTCTGTGGGACCTTAGGGAATTGTGGTAGAGGTAGTGAGGGATGGGAAATGGGCAGAATTACTGCACATCCTCATCTGGTTAAGCCCGCCTGTTTAGACGTTTGTATACGTGTGGCCGCTAGACAGAGCCTTGCATTGTAAGCCCACAGATGAGAATTTTGTGCTAGCTTATTATCGTGCGGAGCGGCCTCGGCCTGCGTTATACGACCTACTAGTAGTTACCGAAATGCCTCTCATATCATATGGGTATTGCAGGAATACATAAAGTCCCCAACTACTTTGGTTACACCATGACGGTTTTATGTTTCACTGTTCTCCTACGTACAGTATCTGTAACCTGTGAAATAGTAAGTTCAAAACGTGTGCTAGTTCTTTATTTTTTTCGAACCAACTTTTCGTTGCGTGCTGTCAACCCCTGCAACGCCTTACGTGAAAAAAAATACTCTGGGTACCGGAGGATGATTTTATGATTAACATACGTATGTCAAGTAGAACATAGGGTATACCTTGTTGGAATATTCTGACGCAGTGTTTAACGCCGTCCACACCTTAAGTTTGTGGTCTGGCTTGTTAGACACAGCAAGTTTAGTAAAAACTGGATTCCTGTCTTACATGTGTCTTTTCATATCATCTTTAATCAGAAAATATTGTTTACATTTAAGTTACATCATATTTATTCCGTTTCTTTGTTTCTATTCCGTTTTCCTTACTGTTTGCTCTTACGTCCCTTCTTCATAATTTCAGATGTTTTCGTTTTTTGCACATATCTATTTCCCCTGCTAACTGTATGTAGCTTCATCCAACACCCGCTGTTCGACTTGTGTAGCCTTTTGAGTTATCTGTTTTGCATCGCTTCCGATGATGTCCACCGGGAGCTCCAAAACATGGTGAAGCAGGGTTGGTGAATTGTGCGTGAATTAGTCTATTGTGAAAGCGGACTTGCACAGCGTCTAACGTACCCTCTTTTCCCCACTCCTCACCCGGACCTGGTGTCAAGACAGAGTCCGGAAGACCGAAGGCGGGATGAGGTCGCAAGTGGCTGGCACGGCCGGACCCGTACTTAGGCGTGCCACCACGCCCCTGGTCCAAAACACACACCTGACACCTGGTTCCCTGTTGCGAAATTAGCTGCTATGATCCGAAACCACACATTACGTTTCAGGAAGTCTTTGTCGAGAGCGTTTCTCAGTCGGCAAGGACGGCCGAAATCAGGCGAGGAATGTAAAAAAAAACAGAATAAGCCTATTTTTATAAGACGTTTCCTATGTGTCAACTGATAGTGTCATCTTTCGAGCCGAAAAATTCATGTTCAAAATCTTACACAAATAAGGACGAATGGTCGAGTTTTATATGTACGAGTTCCGATGAAAGAAGAAGCCCGATAGAGCGCCGGAACCATTTATTTGTTTTTCTGGGCTTCTGAACTCGTGCAGGAGCCCAAAATCAAAGATGCTAGTAACAACAGAACAAGCGGCAGTTATAGGGGATATTAGCCAATCTGCAAACGGTGACCCAGAAAAAGAGGTGACTGTGAAGGGACCTGAGCTCCAGCGCAGGACCCATACATTAATTAGCTGTGATCTCAGTCGGGACACAGACTTCAAACAAATCTTGGCTTATCTAGCCTTCATGTTAAATAATATTTTGTCCACTGCGAAATTTAAGTCGTGATCCGTTTCGAAGAAGTCGGTAGTCACTTGCGATAATTTATAGCGCCGACGTTCAGCTAGCTTATATTCGCGTATGGCAATCTGCGTATACATTCAGTCTAACTTCTGCATGTAGGTACAATGACAGTTAAGTCACGAGATGCGACTAACTACGCTGACGCTCCTTGGGATTTAACATATTCTTGGTTTTCATAACCCTGCTAAACAACACAACTTAAAGCCGGCGCTTAATTCTGGCATCCGGTCTCTCAGCAATGCGTCTGTTCGATTTCGATGGTTTCCTGATGTAGGGCAGTGCACGTCACATCTTTGTTGGGGTTTCTGTTTGGGCCCTCCGGGAACAAAAATAGACGCATAGATTTCTAAAGCTGTTCGAATAGACATTCCGTGTATATTGTTTGCGGAGACATCGGGCTCACGTGCTTCATCGTCCGGTTTGTAGCAGTAAATCCAAAATTATTGGAATGGCATCCGCGCATATCTTAACGTTTAAGTCACCGGATGGTTGCTTTGAAAACTGTTAAGCTGCGTGGTGTTTACTGTTTCCATATAAACCGTTGTCTCTATTTCGATTTCGAGATATCGCCTGAGAAGCACACCAAGACTACGACCTCGGAGGTTTACAAGGAATTGGGAGATTAATCGGAATGAGACGGTAGGCCTGCCCTAGATGAACCTCAGTTTTGAATTCACCTAGTTCGCCAAATTAGAGGTAGGGTTGCCCTTTGAGGCAACGACAGTCCACAGGAGCGCATTTGAATATGGATTGTTGACAGACCGTAAAAGAGAGACAAAGCAGTACCATTCGCCCATATTTATCGACATTTGTTCTCGAGTTTCCATTTTTAGTCGAAGTTCTCTGAGCAGTTAATTGGGCCGATATGTTTATGCGTTCGATTCTAAGCTCCGTACAGATATGTGAAATACTGTGTCATCAAAAGGGGACTTGGCTTTCTCGCGGTAGACTTTTCGGCAAGCTTCGAAAGATGTCTGTTCGCTTTTTAGCAGGGAGAAGAACAATCTTGTCGTTCGTTCCAAGTTCTTTACAACTTCTTAATTACGAAACGTCAGTTTGGTCTCCCCACCATAATTTAAAAGTTAACACGTTATCTAATGAAGAGTTTCTTGATGTCTGCTGCTCTAGTTCTCCGAAAATAGCTTCGCTGGATGCAATGAAGGTTAACGGGTCAGCTTGTGAGGTGTCAAAACAAACTTAATGTCTAAACGTTCCTGGTTGCTATTCTTTTAGCTGGAGGAGACCGGGAAGCCCAAATCGTTCACATGAGGTAGACAATAAAAAAGTTATAAAAGCATTAGTAACTGGACGGAAGAGAAAGTAACAACAGATTACTTGATAACAAAAAATTTTTAAATAACTTATGGCAGAGTTGATTCGTTCGATATATTTTACTTGACTGAAATTCTGGCGACACGTTAAATAGTGGACTTCTAACTCGAATTTGTCCGCTCGACAGGACGTTGCGCACTCACTGCGCATTCGGAATCTACGCTGTAAACCTTTTTACCTGTATTCTTAAGCTAATTGCCAAAATCAAACAGATGAATGAAGTTACAATGTCTCTTTGCTGGGTTTTGCCTTCTAAAACATGTGTTATCAGCTTTGTCCTAGGGCTGGGACGCACAATTCTCACCAGTCATCACATATATATGTGCATATAAGAGTAACAAGTTAATTGACTGAAACGGTTCTGACTGATTCATAAATTTTGAGGACTCTGCGAGCGAGCCAAGACATACGGCTAGCCCCTGATAGCATTGTACTCGCCCAGGGCTTGCCTGGTCGTGGGCTAGTGTTGCGATTGACTGAATTTTTCAGCAATCCTAGCGGGCGCTGTCCACCTGGGGACGGTAGGTTGACGCGCCTTCTCGGGCGAGCTGAGGGCGTTGTAGCCCGAGGCGACTTAAGTCGCCAGACAGGGGCCTAAATTCCGGACAAACTGCGTGCGTGCACCCTGCACGCGTGCGTACGCGCAAAGGGACCCCCCGGGCGTGGCGTGTAAAATGCACTCGGATGAGCATCAAGGAAGGGTGTAGCAGAAAAGCTACTTTCCTCGCACAGATCGAGCACTCAGCCAGTCAGGTTACTAGCCCTGCACTAACCCGCAAGTCAAACGGGCTAGCAAATGTGTAGCCCTGGGCGACTAAATGCTATCAGGGGCTCCAGGACTTGATCAAGCCCCACTGCCAAACTCTAAATTACCCCTGCGTCGGCAAGAAATACCCCAGGCTATGCTATCAGCGGAGAGTTTCTGCTGCACACTTTACTTGCTTGCCGAACAGAGACCATGTCTCAGATTCGCGAAGCGCACAGTGGAGGCGGGTTGCCTCCAATTTCATTTGACTGATTAGAGGTTGCATGTGTCTGAGTTATAATGTACAGCTTTTAATCCGCTGAGTTCGCTTGTCCTTTCAATCTTGTTTTGAAGACACCGCAAGACTACACTTTCCTCGGCATGTTAAGTGTCCATTTTCGACTGGAAATAACGCAGGCCGACGGTGTTGTCTATCACTAACTCGAAAATTTTGCTCTGCCTTCAGTTCACTCCAGTCCCCTGGCCTTTTTTGCATCGTACTTAGTCAGTTTTATGGACTTGCCATAACTAGGGTGCTCTATTTGACATCGCATCGTTTAGGGCTCGCGTCTTCCATTTCGCATGTAACAACTGTACCGGTATAACCGGTGGATGCTGATGGAAGAGCCGGTCTAAGGAAGGATAAAAAGCAGGGCGTATATTGTTGTCTATGGGTCTCGATTTCTTATTCTGTTTTTAAACATGCGCCATGAAATCTACTGGAAATTCATAGCAAACTTATTGCGAGTCCGTTTTCGTTTCTCTCGCCTTCAGACTTTGCGACGACACATGTGCATAGGAGACAAGAACCTCCCTCCCAAACTCTTTGCGGGCAATTCGTACGTCTTCGACTTAGTTTTTGTATTTCATTAGCGCATTCGCTCTGGCAACGATAAAAGAACGGATGCCAGTGATCCTAGTGCGGACCTTGGATGACCTCAGCAGAAACCTTACGAAATACGGCAGCCCGGAGAAAGACGTACTTTTTTATTATTTCCTTCCTTTTACGATTAGTTTGAGGATGCAAAATTGGTTATCCATCGTCTTTCAAAGCTTCGCTACGAACTTGTGACTGATAAACCGTTCGCTGCACTTTTCAGTGAATCGACATCCACTGATATTGACCAGTGGAATGCGGAAATTTCTCAGTATTTTTTATTCTAACATATGTGGCTCCTAGTCTTCAGGAGGGCCAAAATTCCGCATTCTCGGCATCCTGGCTCTTTACTGAGTGCTACATGTACAGACGAATTATGAATATAGTTTCTCAAAGGTAAATTTTTCATTCACTGTGCAACCCCCTCTGTGCCAGTTTGCCATCATTCGACCCCTTTGCAGAGCGCAAGTTAGAAGCTTTTCAAAACAGCCGTAGGCTCATTGCGTCGATGATTGCCTGTCTTGATCAAACACTTACCAGCGCAGACCAGGAGCAACCAGCGGACCATCTTAAATTCTTCCTAGCAGTATGTCCTCTGCCATACATTCCAACTTTTCTTGATTACTGACTCCTTACCGGTAGGATATCGTCTATGCATGCGTTTTGGTACCTGTTCAGAGTTTTAGATGCAGTAGACAAACCAGAACGTTTGTTTTTACGGTTTTGCGCCCTTCGTATTCGATGACGTTGTTCATTTCTCTACTGGATAAATTGCTCTAAGCCCTAAAGTTTGGCTCGTTTTGAAACTATTAATGTCGCTATCGTATAAACGGCATTCCTTCCTAAATTGTAGAGGCTACGGACGTCAGTGGATGCATCCACGTCCGAATAGGGCAGGGTGCCATTAAACTGTTCTTGGCTTTTGGAAAAGCGCTATCCGACCATGTGAAAAATCCTAGAAACGGAAGCATCCAGACAGTAGTTTACTCGAACTGCGATAAGTAAATGCTGGTGCTACCCAAACGTTGCATCTCTTGTGATAAAAACGTAATTGGATCTCTCGGAGAAACCACGCGGATCCCAGCCTGACCGTTGATGCACCAATGGGATTTATGCCACTGTTAAGTCCTAATATCGTCAGTGCCGTTGACTGTCGGCAGTTTTGACTTTCACTTGATAATTTACTTGTTTTCCTGAACGGTCTCTTCTGACTTTGTAATCGTTGCATCTCTCTCGAAACTGTTTCGAATACTCGTCTGCCGTAATGTTTGCTAGGGGTGCCCGAATGTCGCATATACCTTCGCCCCATCTAGAAATAGTATTTCTCAGTGCGGCGACTGAAGCCGAAATCGACGACAATACTGACAGTATGCATGTGATACTTGCTAGCATAATTACCTCTGCAGGAGTCTATGTAAAGTTTACTTTGTTCCTTGAGAGTTCGAAATGTTTTCTGAAATCCAGTCCAAGCTAGCATTGCTAGTCGACAATAAAGCAAGTAGAAAACTTCGTTACTCAGGTGGGGTGGACGGTTGCACGCTAAGGGGGGTCCACGTATTGGCATTCACTCATTTATTCGTCGCTGCATGATTCGACGAGTTTCACTGTAAGGTAGCAAGATAGCTCCCTTCTTCTAGGCAGGCTGTTTGACGACTAGCATATCTGAAGTGTTTGGTTTTCTAACTCTCTTCTCCACTGAACACGAAGTCAACCTTATCGTTGTATGCAGCTCATCAATCACCTTAGTCATACTCTGCATTGATATTGCTCCACGCACGTTAGTGTTCCCTCTGGTCAAATGAGTTCGATCTATCGCTCAGCGCTGGTGATACCCAAGTTGAGAACCCACACGGTAGTGTCAATCATCTGCGGGAGGAAGTACTGTCCAAGCTCCGCAGTAGTATGGCTGTCGACGAACTAGATGCCATTGCACGGTCCTGGCCTTCTGAGCAGCCTGCCACTGTTGCCGTCGTGATGGATAATGCAGGCCCGGAGATGGTAGCGGACCTGGTCTTGGCGGAGTATCTCCTAAGTTCCCACTTGGCTGAACGAGTCGTCTTCTACCCCAAGTCGCTGCCGTGGTTTGTTTCTGATGTAACGCCAAAAGATCTTGACTGGCTTCTCGGGGAAGGTCTCCCCTCTATGGTCAGTATCAATGAAATAGAGCCCGAAGTCCGTGAAAGCATTTCAAGCTGGGCGAAAAAGTGGCGTCTCCGATTTGACAGTGGATCCTTCTCTACCATCGTGCATCCCTTCTGGACCCTCCCTCTGGGCTATAACTATCTGCAGTCAACAGCGCCCGACCTGTTTAGGAGTCTGACCAAGGAATCATCTGTTACAATATTCAAGGTAAGCCGTTGTTCTTCTCACATTGTTCATACCTGTTTGTCTTTAAGTCTGCCAGTAAATTGAGTTTTCCAGAGAGCAAGCAGACTGTGATTAGCTAGGTTCTGTAGAAACAAACGATTTTTGGATACTCTAAGCACTGAAAATCCTTCAAACTCCTAACAGCACAAGACATGCAGTCCACTCTGTGCTCTTCACTCCCCACTGCGTACAGGGCGATTTGCATTATCGAAAGCTACTGGAAGATCGGAGCTGGGCTGCAAACTCCGAGGACACGAAGTTCATTTTTGGTAGATGCTTCCCACCCGCCTCGGATGCCAGTCGTGACTCCTGTGCCCTCATATTGGCTCTGCGAGTTGCGAAGTCTGACGTTGCTGTGGGCGTTTCGGAGGACCGCCTTTCAGAACTCTGTACGGAAGACCCCGATTGGTGGACCAAGGGGAGGTACGGTTTCGCGCAAATCATAAGCACTGCATGATTTACCACTTCAGCCATGCTTCCATTTTTTACCCAAGAAATCACTACGAACCACCCACGTGACGATAAGGTTGAGACAATCTTCAAGCGCCGTGCGCACTTCCAGGACTTTATGTAACGCAAAAGGAATAAAAGCCCATCGCGCGACTTTACTTCATCCTTTTGCTAAAGGGCCGTTCTGTTCCAGAAGACTGTTGACTAACATACCATCACCGTTGGGTTGAATGTGCGACTTTATGGCTTTACAGTTGACGGCGACTAAAATATGCATAGGAAGTGATTCCATCGAGGCATAAACATCACATTTTTTCGAGTCGAAGTTTATTTTCCTCCTATGACGAACGAAATGTTCCTGAGATAGTTGTCTGCCCCTACTACCCCGAAATGTGTATTCTGCTAAGTGGGCTAAGGTTTATACGAGCAATTTGCGCACAGCCTTTGTTAGATGCCATTGACACGTCTCAAGCTGCATTCCTGACCAGGAGAAGGCACCCCTGGGGATTGATGGCTGTCAACTTGAAGAAGTGGACAGTTTTAAATACCTCGGGGCGCGGCTGCTGCCTAATGGACAGAGTAAGGACGACATTGTCTCCCGAATCGATGCTGCCCGCTGGGTTTTTTCAAGCCTTCGGAAATGCCTGTGGAACCGACGTGACCTCTCCATCGCCACCAAGATTCGCGTGTACCGTGCATCTGTCCGGTCTGTCCTTCTCTACGGTTGTGAATGCTGGGCTTTGCGTGTGGCGGATGAGCGAAAACTGGAGGTATTTGACCACCACTGCTTGAGGATCATCCTTCGAGTGAAGTTAACCGACTTCGTCTCAAATGAGATAGTCCGCGCTCGCTGCGACAACATCGCGAGGATAACTCAGGCCATCCAAGAAAGACGACTGAGGTGGTTCGGGCATGTTCTTCGTCGTCCACCTCAGGAGCTCAGTGTTACTGCCCTCGATCCGGCACCGTTGCCCAATTGGAGGCGTCGAAGAGGGGGTCAGTTCAAAACCTGGCTCGACACTGTCCGTCAAGACATGGAGGTGGTTCTTGGACCTTCGGTATTCGGTCTCCGTCGTTGGCGAAGGGAATGGGTTGAACTGTCTAGATCTGCGGCCGCGGATCGTCACGCGTGGAGAGGTACAATCCGGGACATCATCGAGGCCGGCTAGATCAGGCATGATCGCAGCCGTATCAAGTACAAGTAAGTAAGTACTAGGGCCGGAACTGTGAGAAATCCACGTTGCAGTACCCTGCACAAACCTACGAGATAGCGCACACAGATGTCCACCGCCGTTAAGTGTTTGGGCACGACTGCCGACCCCATTATCGATGTGTCCCGACAAAGCGGCTGGACGACGCCGAAGTTGTAAAGGACGCTAATTCACCCCAACGATAGCGAGGCCGAGCACATTCTTACTCCCATGGCTGTCCTGTCCAGAATTCTCGCGATTCTGCCGTCGCTGGACTGAGATGAAAAGCAACCATTCGGGAGGTGATTCATTTCCGGCATTAAGCTGGCTGGATTAACCATGACGAGCGGTGCATTAGGAAGGAATAGGGACATCAGCAGAACGTCCAGTCTGGCGTAATCCACATGGAGTCTCCCGCCTAGCGTGCAACCTTCATCAGCAATCCTCGTGATGATGCTGCCGTCGTGGCTTAAGTAACTAGAACTGATGTCTCGCTCCAGGTTGCTTGCTAAAATTGGATTATCTGTGGTAGTCGGCACGGCTGCAACGCACCGCAAGGTTGGTTGGGGTTAGCGTTTTCTGAGTTTTCGTCAGTCTTATTTCCTCTCCAGAAAGACATTTAATTATTATGCCGATCATCTCGCGGTCTATATTAGATCGTTCCAGATCGGTTCGGCAACTGACTACGGCGTTATTCTATAGGATGACAAACGGATAATATGCGACGTCAGCTAATAACAGAAGCGGCACTTTAGACACCACAAGAGAATCTGGCAACTTACCGACCGTAACAGTGCTCTGTGAGCGATTGGCCTTTCCGCCCTAGACAAATTTCACAAAGCCCAACCCCTCATGACCTCCTGAATTTGATGGCATAAACTTGACGCGTCCAGCCAAACAGATACAGCACACTTCAGTAGGGAGCGCGCGCAAAATGGAACCTGCGGTCTCTGCTTGAGAAAACGTCGACGGCCGAAAATATCCGCTAACGAGTGCGTTTTACTCGGAAATGGCACCATTGGAGCGCAATTTATTGACTTGACCCAGCAGAATAACGTTGACTATCGAACACTTGGAAAAGATAGTCACGTGTTTACGAGCAGACGAAAATTAGGAGAAAGATGGAGTGAAAAAATAAGCGTTGACAATCGGCGGTTCTAGTAAATGGAATGCATGCAAAAGTTAGCCTTCAAGGCGACGTGTGCAGGAATACGTAAGAGTTAAGTCGGTTTGACAGGAATCGCACTCGTCTTTCCCCCTTCAGTTTTCAGTTCGACGAGGCTTCCAGAAGGCGGTCTGTCCTTTCCCTGCATCCAGTCGTAACACAATCTAGAATTCAAGGAAAAAATTATATAAAGGACCCTTCATTCTAAGCAAACATACGTCCCCTGAACAGTGCTGCACCGTTATTTCCAATTCCCTGGAGGCGTCGGTGACATTGCTGATTAGGAACTTGGCCGTTAGGTCCGCTCACGTTTAAAATAACTTAAAATGCAGGCCAAACCAGCCTCGGGCAATCTTTTTGCAATGCCGTCTAGGGGAACAGTTTTTGTCTTCAAGACAGATGTGTGGGCACCTGATACCCTCTGAGTTCACGACCGTAGGAACTCAATGGAAGCACTGGAAGAAATGGTCGAATGACTGGTTTTATTCGACAAGGGGGTAGTGAGGTGAGAACCAGATGCGTTCTGAGTGAAGCTGCTCTCACACCGCCCTGCAGGTGGGAACAGAATTATGCGCAGGTATAGATGCCAGTGGAAGAGAATATGCGCATCCCAGGTTCTTGTTTAAAAGAAGACGAAGGCACGATCACTGTCCCTGTGATCGTGCCTTCGCCTTCTTTTTAATAGATGCCAGTCTTTAACGACAAAGACGAATGATCTGCGAAGTCACGCCAATGTATAGTCGGGAACTGCGAAATTAATGGTATCTGATGGAAGTCTATCTAAACGATACCTAGATGCAACCCCGACTTTCGGACGGCCTCGCGGAGGGTGGGTCGTCACAGTCCGCCCAAGAACGAAACCAGGTTCTAACACATCCTCCGGCATTTATAAAGTTTCAATGGGCAAAGCAATTCCCCCTTACTTCCGGAAGAGGTAACGGGACTGTGTGTTGCAGACGATATGCGACTCGCCTGACTGATATTACGGCTAAGACCCCTGAAGCTACTTCAATGCGGCCTATGCATGCAGCTAAATCGGAGTAGTTTATGACCCGGTACTAGCTGAATCAAGATTTTCAAATTATGGTATTTTGTGAAAAAAGTGGAATTATGCTCAGCAACGTTGGGTCTGGTCCATGGGCATTGGGCTTCACATTGAAGCTGCTACGGACTCGATGTGAGAGTGATGAAACCTAATTCTGAATTACTGCCTGGAAGTCGTCTCATCGCATATAGCGGACGAATCTAAGGCAGACAACAATTCATAGGAGTTAAGGGCAGACTGCGTTCCCCTCAACAAGCGAACTACGTTGTTGAACGGACCCTTTGCCAGTCCTTAGTATATCATTCAGGAATTCAGGCCGATAACGTTTCGGGGATCCCCGAATGGCTACGATCTCGTTAAAACGATTATAACACAACCCAGGGCCCGGGAGTCGAATAAGAGGCTGTGCTAGCAGAAAGTTAAGACAATTTCATGCACTCACGGCGCGCGTAGGATTCCTTTCGACCATGGGCACCCGTACCGCCTGCACAGACTACATGTCATTTCGCTCCCCACTAGTGGTTGCGCAGAAAACATGATAATTTTTGTCTGGATTTTTGGCAGGATGAGTCGGCAGGGTAGTTGTCTTCCTTTTACGGACTGATAAGACCTGTTATGACTCCAGAAACCGACAAGTGTAGGGATGTTTGAAGACGGCTTAGAAACGACTTTAGCAACTAAAATCCGTGCAATTTCTACGGGAAAAAGGTCATGATAGCCTTCCCTGATGAGGCTCTCCGGTCATGCTGCAGCATGATTGGATACGTCTGTCACTCTTTCCAGACGATCGCAAGTCACGCGTGAGTGATATAGGCCGATCTATATGACTCCAGGACGGAAATAGACGTTCCTGTTTTGCGTCGTAGCTGAGGGTGCACGACCTTCGTGAGCAGTGATAGCAACAGACACAGGGACGCTGGAATGACCGTTTCTCGCTCATTTTTGGAATTGAAAACGTTTGCCGTCTGCAGAAGAGGTTATTATTGATTAATGACGGTATATAAGCTACAAAACAGCCGTTCCAGCGTCCCTGCGTCCGTTGGCAACACATTAAAAAACAAATGTTTCGAAAAAAAGTTTCGGAATTGCCGGCCTCAGCAAAATTTTGGACAAGTGGGGCGAGGAGAAAACCTTCTCACACACCGGAAAAAGGCTCATTTTATGCTTAGACGAAGCTGCCTGCACAATTGCCTACACGATTATTGAAACATTTACCCGGTCCCGAATAACGCCTATTTGTATGGGAGGCCAGGCATACTGCACTGTTAGTAGGCATCATCTATCCCGCAAAACAGTCCTTCAAATATCCTCCTTAAAGGCAAAAAAATGCTAGATTGGGATATTAACAAGCCTTTAGGACCACTGTCATCAACCAATCGTTGAAAAGAACATGAAATACTCATAATGCTGATCATTTTGAACCTGAAACTCGGAAAACCACTAATATGGCTTGACGTATAGGAAATGGGGAAATTACTCAGCCACGTCGTTTAGTGGTGTCCATTTGGAATGGTCGGCATCCGGCATCCACTTTCTGTTCATAGGCGTATCAAGAGTGGACCTGAAATTTGAATAATGGTAGAATCTGAGAAAGACGACAAAGCAACAGCGTAAGATCTACAGCCCAACCCTGGTGTACAAGCTTGGTCGATGAAATGTGTAGCAGTATTTCAAGCAGAAGTGGGTAACAAAATAATGAACTGGAAAATGTCCTCTCATCAGTGTACAGGCGGGGGCACTTCTGCCCGGGAGACTTTCTAGGAAAGCTATCCGAACATAATTACTCGTTCTGGGAGGGGGCGGTGGTAAAAATTAAGGGAAGAAATCTGCACAAACTGACACTTGGAACGGCCATCGGAGCGAAACTAATCTACATTTGTACAGCAGGCAAAGACGCCATATTATTAGTTTCCCAAAAGCAGGCGAGTTAGCAATAAGTGCAAGCGGCATGGCTCGTAAAAGTTAAAACGGCTTCAAGATCAAAAAACGGCAACAGGGAAAAATAGCAGCAAAAACTGACGGCAAAATTGCAGCAACAAAAGCATCAGGGGGCATCCCGCTGCCCTTCGCTGCTAGGCTCTGAGTCATATGGTGGACAGCGGCTTTTGCCATTCCATATGCAACCATTCCTAAAATAAAAGTATGAGGATTTTAGGGAAGAGCAGCTTTACATCAAGGAGTGTACAACAAGTGGCAACTGACTGACGGTCGGATAACAAATTACGGTCGAAATTGAAAGCTTGGAAAAATCCTAAAGACGGTTCTGAGCGAGACTAAGCGGTCTGTTTGTCTAGACAATAAAGAAAGTTGTCGCGTCCTGTTTTTTTTACGACCGCATCAATAATTATTTAAATTACGTTGTTTACGTCTAAAACAGTGTCGTCGAATTTGGTCTGCTATATTGCTTTTCTGTAAGAGTATTTAAATGTGCCCGGTAACTCATTAAGTGCAGATATAACAATCAAGCAAAGTTAGTTTTGTCTCTTATGGTTACTTAAATGCGTAGAGAGAATTTCCGAGGCGTCGTGAAACAGCACGTGATTAGAATACTCTTGTCGGAAAGTCGATGTTTTGTATCGTAGTATCAAAATAGTCCGAATATGATAAGAAACAAAGAGGTCAGCCCATCACTCAACCACACGACCAGTCACTGCATAGGTAAAACTGGAGAACAAAGGGAAGACGTTATGCTCTAAACGTAAAGGCGGGAAGCCAAAAAGGTGTCAGTTAGCAGAATGGCCGTAAGCTCGCTAAGCGGGCAAGCCTGTACAGTCTATAAAAATTCCAACCCAAAACAAACGAGGACATAATGTGTTAAGTTAGGTTTTCGGGGGAAAAAGAAAGCAGAAGTGACGGAGACGGCACTGGCTAGGAACCAGTACGAAAATTTCGCAAAAGTGCCAAGTCCACATTTACTGATATGAATAGAAATATTTAAGTGGGGAATGGCAGGTCCAAACAAACCTGGTGTGGGATGAATTGCGGACAAAGCACCGGAGAGGACCAGGGTACCGCCAGGACGCAAGTAGGAGCAGCTCAGAGATGCAGCGATGGAAGAGGACCAAATGCTCTGTCGCACTACACAGTCCACATTTTTGATAAAACCTTGAAAGTAAGCCTTAGAGTGTGACAGTTACTTTTAGTTGAGCAGCTGCCTCCAGCCCACCCGCCAGCAACGCATAATATCGCATCAACTGATTCGTCGCCTAAAACCTCCTTTACACCCTTTTTCACTTCGGCGTCTTGTTCTTCGAGGCAGGTTCTATTAGTGATAAGAACATTGGCGTCGGCATCTACATTCAGCTTTGACGCAACAGAACACACCCACTGAAATTGTTAGATAAAAACAAAGTCTTACAAGACCCTTAGATTTCAAAAAGGCCACGGTCGCAGATCCCAAACCTCCGGCTCCGCCGTACACGATGACGCGACTCTGCATATTCTATGTTGTTCGCAAAAACTTTTGAAACGGTGTCTAGGTCGTGGCTCATAAAAAGTCACATCGGTCAATGGGTTAATATTTTGCATCATCGTTTGAGTATATAGATTCCTGCACATCATGGTGCGTTTCAGCAAGATTACGCGACCTTAGTACAGGTAACATAGCTACTGGGGGACTTGTCAGCGTAAGAAGTTTTTGTTTGCCCGTGGCATAATTGTCCCAGGGCAGTTAAGTGCCATGGTGAAAATACTAAACAGGAAGAAGAAGGAAAATAGGGTTCGAGCACCGGAACACTTTGTTTATATTTCTGAGCTTTTGGACTCGTGCAAGAGCCCATCGATGGACGATTCGCAGTAATGCGTGAAGGTCTGTTAACGATCGTGGGGAAATCGGCTTTTGAAAGGGGGGCTGGACTAAAATAAAAGAACTCAGGCAATGAGGGATTCGCAAGAAGGCATAAAGGTATGATATAGCATGGATACCGGGGAAAATCGGTATAGGAAAGGGGGGATCTGGACTATAACGCGAACAATAAGGGGTTCGGGCTACGCAGTAACGCCAGACGGTCTGATACGGTAAGGAGGGGTAAAAACGACAAATACGAGGTGTTCCCCGCGCGTTTTTTCGGTGAGCGTGCACGAAGGGGCAACATCGGGGATCTTTCCCGCCATAGTGCCTTCTCCAGCCCCTTCACAGCCCCCTCGCGAGGGGGGCCGTTGAAGTGTTGCTGCATGTACTTCTCTACGACGACGAACGTGTGGTCTACTTAACGGCGCCAAAATACCGGTTCATGTCGGCTAAAGGCAATCTTTTATAACTCCTTTAGGACCAGTTCAGCCATTAAACCGGAGACCGACGGATCCATTGCGGTTCCCTTGATTTGCTCATAGGTCTCTAAAACGAAAGTGAATAAAATTTGTTGGCAGAATTCGAACAACCCCATGAGGTGTTCAATTTTGAGTGTGTACTGAGTCTCGTCGTGCGTCTTTTCAAGTCTCTTGCGCAAGACTTTATAATAGTCTCTGGTGTGGTGCAGTGTCGAACGCCTTTTGGGAGTCAATGAATGCGATGTGGACTATGTGGCTGTCACCGGGAGCTCGCGTTCTGCTCTGAAGAGACTGCAGCAGATTTGTCGTGCAGGATCTTCTTTTTCGAAACTTGTTTTCGCAGTTCAGCAGCAATTCGGGAACTTCTAGGAATTTCACCAAATCGCTCTTCGTGATCCTCATTACAGTTTTGCTGAGGATAAATCCCAAGCTCATGGGTCTGTAATTTGTCTTCAAAGCCCCTGCTACCGCCCTTGCATAGTGAAATTATATTCGCCAGCGTCCAATCGATAGACAGTGCCTCAGTGTAAAATGACCTTTCAAAGTGTATCAATGGAGATATTGAAAGCTCTCTGGCAAGTTATTTGACAAACTTTGTAATATCTTGTCTGGTACTGGACACTCCGATTCGTGCAATGTCTCTTCTTATCTTCGGATGCAATAATCTGAAAAGAGTATATTGCTTATGCTTGGTGTCCGTAGTTCATCTGAGGATGGAGGAAGGAATCCTGCCTTTTTTGGGTAGACTGATTGGGAAGACTTTGGAAAAATGTACAGTCTTCTCCCTGCAATCAGCGGTTTTAACTCCATCGCTAGTCGTCAGTGAAAGGGCTTGTCGTCTGCTATTTGGATCTCTCCTGAGGTAGTTGCACAGCATTTCGGATTCAGGATCGCTTTCTGCAGCCCTCTTTTCTCGAATTCTCGTCGGGTTTAGTTATTCATACATCCAATTTTCTTGCTCTGTTCTGTAATTGCTGTAAGTTATGCAGTCTAAGCGGTCAAACAGTGAGAGCAGTGATATGATGGGACAAGAAAGGACATCCGATTAAGAATTTCCAGAAAAGAAAAAAGGGTTAGTTTCATCAGCAGGATGCCATTAATTAGAGAGCAGCTTGGTTATTTAAGGTACCACTGTATAAGACTTGTGCGCATAATGATCTAGTTCTAGTGAGGTTCTCAATTAACTAACACAGGGCACTAAACTACTAAAAACTAGTATGCACAGACCCGTAGTGACTTCTTTGTTGAACAATGTGTTATATTGGTCATAATATGGGCATTTAAGTGGTCTCTATGTGTTGGGGACAAACAAAGACACCGAGGGCCAGTTAGATTATGAACGTTATATCCAGTTCGGACTAAAATGGACGGTGTTAAGTGCCTGCATTCCGCATCCTATCCACCAAGACTCGAGCGTCCGCGAGGTCATCTCAGGGTCGTGGCTGTGTAAAGGTAAGGAGTTTGGTTAATTTCACGCATATTGCTAATATCGGGTTTTGAGATGGACGCATAAGATTTATTTGATTGGCATTGTACGTTTTCGTATAAACCAGTGGCATGCAACATTCGGGAAGTTGGTATGATTTTCAAATTGTACACTTGACTGCACCCAACAAAGATCTCGAAATAAATAAGTGGACAAACAAATGATTCTATTACAAAACCCATAACCCCTACTTCTCATCCCCAACCCCTTACCCCTAACCCCAATCCCTAATCCCTTAACCCTCACCCCTAGCCTAACCCTTAGCAGGTACGACTAAGAAATAAGACGTAGCCCTGTTTCCATTAGAGAATGAAAGAAGTAAGCAACCTGCTGATACATGTGAACTACAACTTAAAATCGTACATGATAGTTTTGAGTAATATAGAAACATGCAAATTTAAAAGCGAACTAGTGCAGGTGAGTGTCAGGGAGATTTAAGAGATAAACTCGTGACGAGTTTAGTCTTGAATGAATCCACACACGAGGAGTGAATAGCCTCTGTGGACTGGGCGTTCCACGCTGCATCTACCCTGATACTTTAGAAATATTTGCGGACATCACTCCGTCAAATTCCTCGGCGTAGCTTGAGAGGATGACTGCGCGACAAGAGTGTGTTAGGTTGAATAAAGATATTCCCAGGATTAAAGCCAAAACCCCTCCATGCATAATGCAGATGGTTTAAATGAGGTCCATCGTACCTGCCTGTAAGAACGGGAGGAAGAGGTTAAGGGTAGTGGAGGGGGACAATTATGACGGAGAAGCCAACTGACAGCTGCAGATACGATGATAGTACGGAGACAGGTAACCACAATAACTGCATATTGCAAGCCTTGGCGGGCTCCTGGTCATAGGATGAAGCGTGACTAACAGCCTACTGCTAAGTCAATCGCCACGCCGAAATTGGCGGATGTATACGGGCCCATCCGTCATTATCTGACCACAGAGAGTCAAAAGGTGCCATAGCCTAGGTCGTCAAATGTAGCTGAGGGCAAGGAGAACCGAATTGAGGTGGCCCGCAAAAAATGTCGCAAATAACACCGCACCAGTTCGGAGTGACGTCGCGAACGACTGTGTACACGACACCATGATGCTGAGGGGTGTTGGACGAAACATGTGTCTCAGCGGCAATGTATCTCTGCCCCAAAAGTCGGTGACGTGGTCAGAGACGGGTGTCTTCTTAGGTGATGGATGCGGGGGGACGTCTCTGTCTGATTTCGCGTTACTTTGTGTGGGTAGTGAACGCCACGCCTATCAGCCCTACTAGAGTATTGAACGTGAATCGTTTCAGGCGATAGCTGCTTGTCTAGGACAGTCAATGGTGTAGGCCTGCTTATACAACGCAGAGAAGCAAAACCAGACAACTGCTAAGCCAAGGTATCGAATTAGTCAAACGCACTATGCAACAGCGATATAGGGGAAAAGCTGCCATAATTCTGAATAAAAGTTGAAAATGGGCTCCATTATTTCCCGTATGGGAGCAGGTTGATTCAGCGGCAAGTCCACGGGAGTGTTTTCTAACTTCTTTGCTTTGAAACTTGTCAGTCTTAGATTTGGTGGAATTAGACTAACCGTTCCCCCTTATCTACAAAACGCGCCTCTGTTATATCGATCAATCCGGCAATTTTACTTAACACGCAACTAGTTTAGAAATATAGCAAGCTACCCCCATCCAAGAAGCTTCGAGGCATGCAAGCTAACCTGGTGGTTAGAACGTCCAGGGTGACGTCGGTCCTGCAGCGGTGATTGTGCATTGGATAGCTTATGCTGAGGAAGACTTGTGCAGCAACTATTGCGGTCCCTTCCGTCTCACCCACCTTGGCCTGATGGAAGATCCATGCAAGACTACCGAAGGTGGATGTGGGTGCAATGGCTAACAAAGTTAAGCAGTCCAATAGAAACGAAGAGACGAGTCCCAGGGAGCAGTGTTGAAGAATGAGACACGATCGCTGGGACAAGAGCTTTATTAGCCTGACGTTTCGGATTCCTGTTCGAACCCATCATCAGAGACAAAAGCTGATAAGGGTGGTTCATGCATAAGGGGCTGCAGTATTTACAGGATGCAGTAGCCATGCTACCGCGTGGAGATCTCAGGTGTAATAACACCGACCGACAGACGCATGGCAAAACCCCAAGATACGGCTTTGGCCCGATTCTATGGCCACCCTAAGGTGCACAAAGACTGCGCTCCTCTCCGACACATCGTGTCGCTCAAAGGGACTTCAATGTACGGACTGGCTAAGTGGCTGTTTCGGCGTCTCAAGTCCCTGACCACTGAGTCAGCCACTACGGTCTCTTCGTCAGCACAATTCCTGTTAAAACTCAAAGTGGTAAGCCTCCATTCAAATGAAGGTCATGGTATCTTTAGATGTTGCATCCCTTTTTACTTCCATTCCCCAGGACCTGGCGCTCCAGACAATCGAGCTGCTACAACGAAGAAAATATGCTGAAACAGAGAATCGGCTTGGACGCGACCAAGTCCTTCAGCTCTGTTTCAGGACGTACTCCACATTCAAACGGACAATCTACGAACAGGTGAAGGGCACACCACTGGGTTCGCCGATTTCGGGATTAATTGTCGAGGCGATCCTGCAACGGTTAGAGTCGCTGGTCTTTCAACATCACAAGCCGAAGCTATGGGCTTAGTATGTGGATGATATCTTCGTCGTTATCGAACGGGATCAGGTGCTGACATTCAAAGAGCATCTCAACGCCGTCTTCCCGGACATTCAATTTACGATGGAGGAGGAAGAGAACAACCAGCTGGCCTTCCTGGATGTCCTCGAATGCTGCAAAGATTATGGTGGACTAAAGACCAAACTGTTCAGGAAAGCGACAAATACGATGCAAGTACTGAACTTCAACAGCAACCACCCAATCAGCCACAAACGCAATCGTGAAAGGACGCTCTATCGGCGTGTCGAAACGCACTGCAATTAACCGGAGGACAAGATTGCCGAATTACAATACCTCCGACGGGTATTCAAAGCCAATGGTTATCCGCGCAACTTCGTCGACCGGTGCATACGCAAAAGGGACGAAGGCCCAAACCGACCATCTCCAAATTTTAGCGAGCGCCTCCGTTTGTCAAGAACGTTTTGGAAGCTGTTGGCCGCCTTCTCGCACCACTTGGGGTTGGAGTTGCAAACAGACCGGAGGCAACCATCAGGCGTCAGGTAATGAAACCAAAAGACCCACTACCACGGCAAGAAACGTCTGGAGTCTTTTATCGGATCTGGTGCAGTTGCGGACAAAGCAACTACATCGGAGAAACCGGAGGACAGCTAAGAACGGGAATGGCCGAACACGCTGCAGCGGTGCGGAGAAATGACGCCAGCTCTCAAGTTGCGGCTCATTCGACGGGTTCCGGCCACACATTCAAATTTGACGAGGCCGAAATTCTCGCAAGAGGTGACAACCGCGTGAGCCGCGAGCTGCATTAGTCATGGTTTACTGGTCCTCAGTCTATTAACAAGTGCAATGATCTTTCCATTCAATACTGGGTGCTGAGACTTCGCCACGCGGGGAGCGCACAGGTGAACACTTTTCCCAACATCAGGGTCAGCACGTCAGCTGGTCGAGCAATCGCCACACCAACATCCAACGCGCGTGAAATTGCAGCAATTAACGACGCGAGTGTCGGCCATCACACCACGTGCAACGATCCCTGATGAAGGGAGAGCCGCGAATATTCATAGGTATGCGGTAGAATGACGACTACATCCTATAAATACTGCAGCCCCTTGTGCATAAACCACACGTATCTGCTTTTTTCTCTGATGGGTTCGAGTAGGAATCCGAAACGTCAGGCTAATAAAGCTCTTGTCCCAGCGATCGTGTCTCCTTCTTCAAGCTAAGCAGTCCGTCTACGCGCGCCACGCGCAACCTGGCTGCCATTGCAGATTTACAATGCTACCTTAAGTGTGACCCGGATATCACTTACGCGAAAGCGTTACAGGGGCCACACTAACAAGGAGCAATTCCAGCCCCACACTCAGCCCTGAGAAGGACTAGTATATTTAGTCATTTGGCAACCATCTAAACTGCAATTAGTAACAATTTGATAGGTTCCAGGTCACCAGTAGTGAAGAACAGGCTGGCTTGGCAAAAGGAAGTTCTTAATGTCATTCGTACTCTCTCTTCCATCTCTCAAACACCAGTTAACTATCCGAGTCTGTCAGTCAGGTGGCGGTGGGATTGGGCCCAGCGGCCAAGGCAGCTTGAAAGTCCTCCTGCAAGGCTTGAAAAGAAATGTATGCCGGAAATCAAGGCCTTGCACGAACCCAGCCCAGCTTGAAAACGCATGCCGTGAGTCAATCTGCTCACCGTTCTGGTCTAGCGCCCATGTAAAACGGCCCACTGTGGAGGCCCAGCGGATTCAGGCAATCAGAACCAATGGTGCCGTCACGCTCCTGTGCGCTCACCGGGGAGTTAGAAACTGTTGGGAGTACCTATACTCCCAAAAAAAGAACCAGCCAATCACAGGAAGCTACGTGCGCTTTCTCCGCCGCACTGTCAGCAAAATCGTGACGCCTCTCCACTGGCCGCCCCTCCCGAGCATGATCGATCCGTGTATTCGATTTATCGATCAACTCGTCTAGAATGTTCTTCATGAAGTGCATTGGGCCGAATGCAGGAGAACCACAGCAGGGTATTATAAATACGCGTTACTTTCCAGTTAGACTTGACTTGCAGTTCCTAATACACTTTTTCATGGCCGATGCTTTGGTCGAGTACGCATACGCTCCACGTGACTTCAAGTACCCGAAACAAACAAGCACCCATGAGACACCTGTAGGCATAAAATATTCACGCTTATTTTGGGAGTAAATAAAAGAGTTATCAGTAAAATGACAAAGGCAGCAGCGACAAAGAAAAACTATCTCATTTGATTTTGAAATTAAGATTTACGGCCAAGGTGCCTTTCATTTGCCTACTTGGTGAAAGCAATTGGGGGAAGAGCGAAGGGGAGCTGGGGATAAAACTGCAGCGACTCTCTCGGAGAGGCGACTAATGCTGCGGAAGATGCCCAATAAGTGCATAGCTTCAGTCAAAATCAGTAAAACAAAACTGCAAGAAAATGAGGGAAGGCGGTACGCGGCCACAGGAGGGAGGGGGCGGGAAGCTGTAGGCGGCGAGAACAGAACCCCGTACTCAAGGACGGCTGGGATGGGAGTGGGTGTCGTGACGCTTTACAGCGTTGGATTGGTCAGCGCGCTGGGAAGTACTGCGAGAATCCGGTGATCGTGACAGAGGATAAAATGCATGCCACCATGAAGTCGTTAATCAGGGCGAAGTTCAATCACCGGTGAGACAGATAAATGCATCAGAGGTTTCAAAAGTCAACCAATCTGGACTAATAAAAGATGAGAGAATAGAGCTGTAGACGCAGGTCAAAAGACCAAATGAGACTAGGCGCTCAACTGAAAGAGGCAGTGACCCCAGCATGACCAAGTTCACGCCGCAGCCGAGGGGCGATGATGGCAGTCAAGTAATCAAGAAATCGCATTACAAAGGAGAAGTCGGTTGAGCTGTACAAAGCCAAAAAGGGCTGAAAGATACATGTGGTTGCAAATACAGGCCCCGAATGATGCTATGCAGTTTTTTTCGGGAGGAGTCAAGAAGCGTGTCAGCAATGACAGCCCCTGCTAAGACATCTTCGGTCAGGGAAGGTTGAGTCCGCGCGCGTGGCGAGGAGTGCGGTTGGAGGCAGACAGGTCAGACGCCGGTAGACTTTGAATCAATGAGCTGTTCCAGAGCAGAGAGGCGCACTTTAAGCTGTTTATATCGATTGTATTCGATCTGCATGGGCATGCGGTCTTCGAGTTCAAGTTTTCGACCTGCAAAAAGTACGAGCCAATAAAGTCATAGCGATAAGTAAAGGCAAGTTTGCTGCAAGAGGACCTTTTGAGTTCTAGTAGGCAGTCCAATACTGCCTGAGTACAGATCCAGTCGAATACGAAATTCAAAGCACTGAACACCATAGACAACTTCCTAAGCAGCACAGCAGCTTTTCAGCACATTTCTCGTGAAGTAGGCGGCGTATTTCACGGTGAGAGAAAGAAGACACGAGTGCCGGAACATAAGCTTCATTGGCCTGGCGTTTCGGATTTATGCTCAAGACCGTCATCAGAGATAACACCAGAAACGAGTTTGCAGTACTCCTAGGATGCAGTCGCCATGCTACCGTGTACCAAGCAAACTTAACGGATGAGGGCAGGGTGACACAATAACCAGCCTGTGGGATGGTTTGCCACCTTTAGAGAATTTCCTTCCCTTGATGTTTCTGAGTCCCCTTCATCGAGAATGCTTTCCCGACGCGCGATAGTGGCTTGATAGCCGACATTCAATCTCATAATCGTTGCACTTTCCCTATCCGTGTCGGACTTTGGCGAGTGGTGATTACTCGACCATCGGGCTAACTGAAAGTGGCGTTCGAAACGGGGTAAAATCTCAGCACCGACTATGGAGGCGGGGAGGTAATTGCACCTCTTAATAGACTGGGGACCAATGAACCATGACTCAGGCAACTCTCGTCTCACGCGATTATCACCTCTCGTGATAATTCCGACCCTGTTCGAGCATGAATCCGAGATACCAGGCAAACAAAGTTCTTGTCCCAGTGATCACATCTAATTCTTCACATCCGCTTTCTGCGACTCGCATTTGCGCTTGTATCGGCAGCGGTTGACATGACATATGGTAAACCCAAGCCTGCTGATGTACAAATAAATTTTTCCTTTCCATTACCATT